CTGCTTATAAAGAACTTGAGCATCAAAATGAACCACAATCAAGTAACAAGCCACAAGAATGGCACCTGAAAGAAGGAAACCAACAGTGTAGTCTAGTTTCAGGCAGAGAAGACCTTCCTGGCTGTCACACACTCATCAGGCAACCATTTGTTTATACGTTATTATTATTTATGATAAATGGTGTGTGCTGTAAACCCAAGGCCGGAAGAAACTGTGTAGCTGGAATAAGATGCTCCTCAGATGGCTGCTCTGGGGAGACTGAAATGTTTTTGCAGAGCTAATTGCCTCATAAATTGGTTTTATTCTCCTAGCTGAGGCTAATGTCTTCTTTTAAAGTTAATAAAAAGAACTCAATTTGCTGATTGCTCTGGACTGGTACTAGCAAAAAGAGCTATTCAGGGACTCTGGAAAGGCCCAGACAATTCCTCAAAGCCATTGCAGCTTGGTTGCTAAGTGGTGACAAGCAAGGTGTTCCCTGTCTGCTATTTAATCCATTTTTCAGTGATGCTGTCACATTGGGCACCTTGGGTATCCCCAAAAACATTGAAGGGGAGAGATTATAATTGACAGCCTCCTGTAGCAGACCCCAGGGCTCAGTGATTGAAAGAACAGAGCAAATGTTTATGCCAAAAGAGCACATTATCAGTAAGCACAATTGATATGAACTACAGTGTCACAGACCCGGACCAGCCTCACACAGCTCAGTGCACAGTATCAGGGTCTCCTCATACCCACCCATTTCATGGGCCAGAGCCACCAGCTCACTAGCACACCAGTTACAAGTGCATCCCTCTGAAGATCAAAGTCTGAGCAACTCTGCAAAGGGTAATCAAATGGGGCCTGGAGAATTACATGTAAAAGCAGTGCACACTGACAACCCCCATGCACAGGCAGGTGCTGTGTCCTGTCCCACCAGCCTCACCCACAGCCAGAGCCTGGGAGCAAGTGGAAGAGCACCAGTATGCACTTTTTTGCCCTGGTCAGGTAAGATATCAGCTATTCCCAGCTGCTGATCCTTACAACACAAACTCCCTGCCCTCCCAGTCATGAAGTAAAGAAGCTCCCTATCCAACACATACCATGGGCAGTGGCTGGATGCTCCACACAATCATTACAGCACACTTAAACCAGCTGAGGCTATCACACACAGGAGACCTCTTCCATAATCTGAGATAACTGAGAACATGAAAAACCTACAACTTCTTACGTGGACAAAAAATTTCTCAGGAGTTCAGCAGGGACTGACTCCAGAAAGAAAACCTTAGCAGATATCTAAGGAGACTGCTTAAAACTTGATACCCCTCCCCACCCAAGCATTGAAAGGATCAAGTCCTCTGCTAGTGCTGAGCACAGGGAATTCAGCTCTGATGCTCAGTTTAATTAAATAGAAATATGAAGTGAGAAAGAAAGGCTAATTAGATACAAATGCAGAGTTACAGGATGTGAATGCTGATTAACCTAATAATAGACAATAATGTTGTTGAATGGAGTTAAATGGATTGTTTAATGGATGGAATGATCTATAGTATATAATATATAAAGTACTTAACAGTAAACATTTAATTACCAACATCAATGGCATTTTTCTTTACCGTATGGAGAAAGAGTGCTTCATAAAAGAGTTACTGGATGGGAGTAATTTACAGTCCTGCAAAAACATCTGCATCATATGGGAAAGAGCAACAATGCCTCAGACACAGACTGAGACACAGTGAGCAATGCTGGGAGCTGCCAGATAGAGCAGAGCAAAGCAAATTAAACACCTGTCCCCCTGATCTGGTACATCACTACCTCTGGGGGGCAGGAAAGGGGACTTAGGAGGCAGAAGATGAACATTACACTTCACAAGATGGCTCCAGGGGAAACTTGCTGAGGATTTAGGAAGGTGGCCACTTGTCACAGAGGAGCAAAGCCAGCCTCTCATGTGCATTGTAGGGAAAGTTCTTAGAGGGCTGAAAGCATCTCTGGTTAATGTTATCAAGTGCAAAGCTATGACCCAGCCACTAATACACCCTGCTCCCAGCACGGATGCTCTCAGTTTGAGCTTTCCTCAGATTTCCTCAGAGGGATCAGGTAGAAGTCTGGCACACGGAAGGCGTTTTTCAGACGCTCGGGATGTTCTGTACTGAGGTAAGGCGCTCACAGATGTCTCGAGTGCCTCCATGTGGCCGGCTCACACCTAACCACAGCATCACCTTCAACAGCTAATACAGCACTTCGTGCAAAATCAATAGTCGTGTCTCTCCTGGAAGCCTCTAATAGAGACGTACAGAGGCAATCCTGGACATTAGAGAGGGGAAGTCACTCCAGGGGTCTCTGAATTGGAGATAGGAAAAATTACAGTCTGTGGCACAGGGGTTACTGAATAAACTTCAGTAAGTAGCCAACATTGTGACAGTCACAGAATGTGCCCTAAAGGGGAACACAATCCCCTTTGGGACACAGAACAACAGACTTGTGCTCCTTACTGGCACAGCAGCAGTCCCAGTTACTATTGCATTAATTTCATACTTCGGGCTGTGCCATGCTGCTCAAACAATGTGAACATGTGCAATTTAATTTTAAGATGTTACACTCCTGCTAGAGCTTTACTTTCTCCTACCTTATCGCAAAGCAGCTGGGACAGAGGTGATGACCTGAACTTGGTGGAGCTCAACCCCCTCCCTGGCAGGGTCATCTGTGGAGTGGATTGCTTCTTCTTCACTTGGATTTCAAAAAGCAGCCTTGCTTGCATGTCCTCCTTACTGCATGGCTCTGTCATTCCCCCATGCCTGATGCAGCATAGGTGGTACCTGAATTTCTATATATTAATTCATGAGTAAGTGCTGAGACAAGCAGAGTACATATGGAGAAGTCAGCCTCAGTAAGAGGGAGCATTTCAAAATGCAGACAAGAAGTGAGTTACCACCAGTGTTAGGAAAAGGAAAGCTGATATTAGACAGGGCCCCTGCCAGAGAGTTGGCTACCTGATTCCGATAACTAACAAGTCCCCTTACAGATCTATTCCCCCATCTATTCCCCTGAAAAAGCAATCTCACTGAATACCTATGAGCAGTACATCAGAACAGCTCACAGATTCTGCCCGTTGCTCCTGGCAGGGGGCTGCACCTTGCATGGTGAGAAGTGATGCCTACTCCATTACCTGCACCACGGGGCCAAGGGGAGCAGGCTGGCCATTAACTGCCCGTGATGAGCTAATTAATCATGGGCACTTGCTGAATTCCTGTTCCCACACCATTATTAATGGCTCTGCGGATTGGGCCACATAGCAGACGGGCAGCAGAGGCTCTTCCACCTGCTGAAGCAGCAATCCTGCTCTGCAAAGGACATCAGCTTCACCCACCCAGCAAACTGAAGAAATTACCGAGAGCTGCCCCAAACTCTCATCTCCTCCTCAGGGATGCAAAATGACTCCTAGCTCCACTCAGGCTCAAACTCCCCACCACAGTGTCCTTCCAGGCAGCACTGGCTGCCAGCGAAGGACAGCCCTGCTACCCAACTCCTCCCTTCATGTTGGGATGTCATGGAGGAACCGACACCAGTCACTGCCAGTCCCCTACAGCACATAATGCCGTGGCTCCCACCTTGTCCGCTCCCAGGCATCCTGGCCTCACCTGGTGCCACAAGAGTATTCTCCATCTTAGAAGTTTCCTTCTCCAGCTGTGCTCCTGCTCTTCCCTCAGTGTGGTAAGGGCTCTCAAGGTTGGACTCAGGGAACCATGAGTCTAATGCTGTTCCAGATGTGCTGCCGGGGCTTATGTGACCACAGTCTGCACATGGCCAATGAGACCAAGTGCTGCTTGTTTGGAGCAAAGAAAACATCACTAGGAATGAATTATGCAGCTGAGCAGAGGCGGCTGACAATTAATTATTCACTGCTTCCCCTCGGCTGGCCATCTTCTCCCTCCTGTTTCCTTTGTATTTCTGGGTGATGGGAATGAAACTGTGTGAGGAAGAGCAAACAGAAGGCAGGCACAGAGCCCCCATGTCTCCCAGTCTCACTCCTGCCCCGCAAGCTTCCAGCTGTGGCAGAGCTGGCCCAGCTCAGCGTTGTAGGAGTCATCATGTGACTAAGGCAGAGCCTGAGTCACCAACTGCAGCGATAGTTTCAGTGGCATAGCCTGCCTCTTCCCCTCTGCCACAAGACTTGATTCAGGTCCCTCACGGTGGCATAGAGGTGAGAGGGTAAAAGGCACTAAGTGAACGAATGGTAAGAGCACAGCCTGGCCAGCTCCCTGTGCTGGCTCTGAGGTTTGAGCACCCGCGTGCTAAAGCTAAAGTGGACTCTGGCAGTCCATTCATCAAAGTGCTAACTGGCACTGATTTGCATCAGATCCTAGTCTGGCCTTTGGCCAGAACTTGCTATTTACACACGTCTCGTGTCCAGCTGTGCCAAGCCTGTCTAGAATGAGGCATCCAAGGGATTGGCCCCAAACAGTCAGCTATGAACTGTGAATCCCTCCAATTCTGTCCCTCTTAGGTCCCAAATCACTGTGGTTAAAGGGCACCAACACCCCCTTTCTACCCCATTAGAGAGTAGATTCCAAAGCCAGCCTGGGAACAGAGAGCAGGTGTGGCAACAGGCCAGAGGGAACTGGGAGAAGTTTGGCCAGATGGGATGGAATGCCCTTGCAGTGTCATATTTACAACAGATTTGCCTTAGAGAATGAAGCTCACGTTAATTAGGGGTCAGTAGCTATTAAAAAGTAAAGATCTTAAATCCTTCTCTACACTACATTTGATTGCTGTCAGGTCCTCACAATCAACTGGAACAGAGATGGCTACTAGAAGAGTTTATTCTACTGTAGTAGTCATTCATGGAAGGACCAGCATCGCCCTCTCCATCCCATGTGTTTGTAAGAATTCCCAGTGTTAAATGTGCCTGGACACCAAACCTCTTTGAAGCTACTCACCTCTCTGAGGAGAAAAATTCTTGAATTGTTTCAGCTTCTTAACATAAAGGTAGAGGAAAATAAGTGAGAGAAAAACTGACACAAGACTTAGGATGACACAAATTATATTTCTGAACATCGCCAAGAAACAAGATGGGACAAATTCATCTAGCACTTGTCACTGGAACTGGGCGTCACAGCTCTGAATACAATGGGAATTGTTCAGCTTTGTTTAAACAAAACAAAAATTAAAATAATAAAAAATCCCACACTCAACCCTCAAACATTTCTCAGGTCATTGTGATTAAACTCAGAGACTGAACAAACAGAAGGAAAAGAGATTGCTAATACATTGCCAAAGTAGTTCCCATTTAATTCAGTTAAAGAGAAGCAATAAGCCCAGAACTGCATCTGGCAAGTTTCAAGTAGGGACCTTCTACATGAAATGCAGACTAGCATCAGGATTAGCAGAATATGCTGCAAAACAGGTGAAGAAATTATAGCCATAGGACACATCAAAGTACAAGCTCATACAGATCGGTCTTCACAGCTGTAGCTTGTCTATTTAGTTTCATAAGCAAAATTTCCAAAAGAACCTTCTAATTCTCAGACCCCATGCATCAGCTACAGACCTGATGCTTCATGAAGACTGGTGGCACAATCCACCTCTGAGGACCACAGAGCCCCTTTCCATCAGGAGTTTGCTATGCAGTAATGTCCGAACCAGAGCACGCATGCAGAAAGGTGTCTGCATCAGTACCAGGGTGGCAAGGAACAGCTTCCCTTTTGGCAGCCCAGAGACAAAAAGCTGTTGCTTGTTTTCCTGATATCAGCACTATGAAACTGCATTAGGGTGTAGGATTTGCTGATGGACATGTTTGTGCATCTTCTAGCTTTGCACTTTTGGCTGGTGGGACATGGCCTATGCTGCCATCATCCTCAAAGAGTATGGGAGAGGCTGGGAAGTGGGAGGAGCTGGAGAGTGAGGCCAGATAATGAAAATACACAGGCTACTGAGATCAGAGGTTACTGTGTTAGATGTACACAGGCCTTGTCTGTGGAAGATCTGTAGGTCCTCCTAGAAAGAGCGGAGAGACACCTCTGTATCCTCCAGCAAAGACTATTCCCTGTTTTGGGGCATTGACTGCACAGCATCCAAAATATTTACAACACTGGCAGAGCATTCAGTTTGTCTAGCACAAAGCAGGAAAGAGGAAATTCTAAACTCAGTGCCCTTGGCAGGTGAAAGGCAACTGTTATCACATTGACCATGCACATCTGTATTTGTGTTTTGTTCTCAGCCCTAAATAAAGAGTTTCTGGACTTCCCTGAAACTAAGAGGAGAGGCAGCACATCAACCCAAAATGAAAATGCTAATGGATCATCTCTCTATCCTCTCCCAGTATCTCCTTGGCCTTGGGCCTTTTGCCTCCAGAGACTGCTGCAAAACTTAATTGGGCTGACATCCCAATTCCAGGCAGAATATGGAGCCCTCACTCCTACTTCAGATCCCCTTTGACTTGGGGGTGTCTGCCTTGGCCACAGTCTTTGGACAGTGGGGCAGGAAAGGGTTCTGCAACTGTGAACAAAGCTTCAAGGACTGTGGCAACCAAATCACACAAAGCAGGACCAGCTCAGAGCAGCTGGAATGAACCTGCACAACCCCTTTTACTGCATCACCTTCACAGCCAAGAAACACAAAGGTGATAAAAGCAGACAGCTGAGGAATGCCCATGGAAAACAGCAGAATATGCAGGAGTCTTGCCTGGAACACCACACTCATTTTTATCCTGGGACCTTCCTTAATTCTATCTAATAAAGATATACTACTGACACTGCTAAGACAGAAAAAGGGAGAAAAGGTAATGCCTTATTTCTTTCTTATCAGTTCAGCAAATGATAATTCCCACTGCACAATAGGATTAGGCTCAAACTGGAGTAGTATCATAAATCTATAGTCATAAATCTGTGACCAAACTGAGACCAGAGCAAGAATGTCTTTCTAAGCCAGGCTACAAAACCAGTCAATGGCACGGGATGAGAGATGCTTTTATTGTTCACCCAGTAAAACAATCAAGTGGAGGATTATTAAGTGGGGAAACAGCAGCTTTGCTGGGCCAGATACCAGGTAATCCCTGAAATGTGTCCAGTGTGCCTGTCAGTGGAGCAGAACTGGGCAATAGGCTTCTTTGGGTTCTCTTCAGTGGATAATGTATTCGCAAAAAAATACAGTTTAGAATTAACTGTAACCAGTCATCAGATTAAGAAGAAAGGCAAAGGTAAAAAGACTACTAACATTAAAACATTTTCTTTCAGCATTTTCAGAACAGAAGGTTTCACATTTTTGCTTCAAAGCAATTTGTTATAGCCCAAGACACAACATTTTTCTAAAAGTTAAAAAGCAACCTTAGAAATGAATGTTTCATTTTGGCATGAAAGGATTTGTTTGTTTGTTTCATTCTTTTTCTTTTTCATTCCACTGAGATAATGGGGAAAAAAGTTGTCTCAGGTCACCCTTACAACTTTTTTCCTCAGATTTTTCAGTTCAGCCTGCAAACTGAAAAACCACTGTGGGCACAGCCTACTTGGGAGTTTACTTGTCCCTCTTTCTATTTGAATTAGACCTAAGCCAAAGAAGATGGGAAATTAATTTCATCAGGTAATACCAACCAGAATCAAGGTATTTAGGAGATGTAAAAATACTGAAAATGGGAGGAGCCATGTTTGTTTACAAGGGGCTCAATATGACCCAGGAGATAGATCTCCGGGTTCCAGAAAACATAGCCATCTACAAGTTTACAGCTATGCCATCCTATTCTCATATAAGGCAATTTATAAACTGTGGGTCTGATCCCGCATTTTCAGAATCTGACTGAGATGTGCTGACACCACTTATCTGTGAGCCATGCAAGATCCAGGTAACCCACCCTAACCTGCTCTAAACAAAGGAGTGTAGGGCTTGGGGTTTTTGGGTTGGGGGAAGCAAATGGAGAGAGGCACAAGGCCCTCCCCACTGGCAATATTGGAGCATCACTCGTGACCTGAAAACAACATCCCTTTTTTGCAGAGTGCTACCGCTTCTGCAGGGACAATACAGTACTGGATAGTTACTTTGCAAGCTCAGTAAAATGAAAAGGCCTTACAAGGATCTTTGTTGGGACAGTCATCTGGTTTAAACACAGCAGAAGACAACAACAAAAGCTAAAAAACCCCACAATAAATTAGGCATCAGCACAGCTTTCTAAATGGTCTATAACACTTACTACAAGACAAAAATCACAGCTCTGGTACTTAGAATCTTGTTTTTTTAAAAAAAAAAACCCAAAGCTATTATCCACAGGTTTTGCATAAAAATAAACATTTTAAGCTGACAGCATTATGTTAATTGGATCAACCCGCTTTTTAATATATATATATTTCTATGTATATTTAAAAGTATATTTTATATGAATAATCTTTAAAGGAGTAATGGGAGTCACAAATGCATAAAAATAGATATTTTGGAAAAAAAAAAAAAGAGTAATAATAAAGACAACCCTAATGAAAAAGAAAAAAAAATATATATCAAACAGGGCAGTATTCTAAAGCAACAGCTCACCATACTACAACTTGTGGAGTCCAGTCCTTCTGTATTGTGAGCAGTTACTCCTAAATATGATTGGGTTTTCTAACAGTGATGTAAAATAAATTCCTGCACATTTAGTTAAAAAAAAAAAAAAAAAAAAAGAGAGAGAGAAGGGATTTGTGTGGATTTGTGTATGTAGAACAGATTTTATGCCTATTAATTGCTGTAAATAGCTATCATGGATCATCTTTCAGACTGAAAACAGCAGGAACTCCAATAATTCATGCATTTATAAGAATATATTTGCTAATCAAGATCAGATCTGTCCCTCTGAACTAATTGTTGTTAAAAACCACAATTTTTGCCCTACAATGTTTTTTTCTGTTGTTCTGTGAATAATCCAAATAGATTGGAAAAGGTGGGCTTTTCAGTAGTCTTTGTCAGCATTTTGTGCAGCTTTGACAAAAGCCAACTCTAACAGTTCAGAAGATAATTTCAGAGTAATCCTGTCCCTTTGCAGCAGGAGGTAACCTCACTGTTAAAAATCCCTCAGGGCAAAACTATCATGGGGGAAGAGGGGAAGCCATAAAAAATTAAAATAACCTGACTTGCTTGCCAGCTGCATCAGTATTCAAGTAAAGTTTAAAGTACCTTTGTGGGACTTTAGAGTCTTGGAGAGTCAGACCGGCTTACTTTAACAAGTGTAATATGCACTTAGAAACAGCCTTGTCATCTGCTTGTCTAAACTAAAGAAACAAAACTCAAAAACAAACAGAAGCAAAGGGAAGGTATAGGAAAGGACTCAGCATCAGTATTAGACTGCAGAGTGTCTCCTTGACACTGACACTTTGATATCTTGCCTTCCTTTCTATTAAAATATCATGAAGTCACGCAGCCATTTTAAACGAGCATTTCGAGAGTCCAGTTTTCATAGAGGTTAACTTGATCATCAGCACAGCACTGGAGAAAGCTGATCTAATGACATTTCACCTACAGAACGCTTCAAAGGAAGATAAGTAATACAATTCCACAAAAAACAATGCCAATGAAAAACACAGAAAGCAAGTTGTTTTTTCCTCGGTGTTTTTTCTTAGATATTCTTACAGAAAAAAAATAAAATTATTCCCTTATCTCTTTCTTTAAAAGCAAATTTTCTAACCAGTAGATTTTAGAGCTATCTTCCATCTACATGAATCTAAGCTTTTCTGAAATCGCCTATAGGGTTTGGGGCAGGGAGGGCAGAGGATTTCCTCTCCTAAATTTCAGAGATATCCAAATGGTATGTTTGTTTTCCTTGGTTTTCCTCTTGAATTTGTCCATTCCCCTTAGGATTTCACAGGCTAACACTACTGTGAGAATTTAAGTGTCTGCATTTGAAAGAACTTTGGACTGAGTACAGCTTCACACATTTCACCTTCTTCATGCCCTTTCCATGTAGTTTCTTCTATCTTTACATGTACAAAATCACAGTTTGTGTAACACTGTTTTAAAGGAAGAAAATAAAATACACACACACACATACATTGTATTGGTGAACACTATACACTAAGCATTTTTTTTCAACAGCATAACAGAAAGTCTGGCCTACTGTAGGTTGAACATGTAGGGAAGGCTGAATTTTTATGGTTGCCATGCAAGCCACCTTCAAGACAAAACAGATTAACCCACTCAAGAGCAAATGGACCTTCTACTCTCAAGCTGTTAGACAAATACTGCCTTTCCAGGGATCAGACTGACATCTCACCAATTCAGTCAATGCAGTATTTAGAGAACCACACTGAGTTGCTTCTGCAACAGTCCTTTGAATTCAAATGCTGTTTAAACCAAAGGGGAAAGAGGGTATCTGAATTGCCTTATTATTATTAATATGTGTATACTTCAATAACACTTTGAATTTCAATTTATTTCTGAAACCTTGCCCTTGGAGAAGAACACACTCTTTAAGCTGACTTTTTTTCAGGCTTCTGATCCTTTAAAATTCTCTCTTCTTTTCCTTCCATTGTTCTTTTTTCAATTTTCTATCAGAAAACTTGCTTTCTTCCAGCAGAAATGCAGCTGATGGGCTTGGACTTTCACTGCACCCGTTCTGTGAAATTCTCTGGGAAAACCCCTCGGCATTGGTCAAGTTCCTTATGCTGGATCCAGTCAGACTCCTTCACGCCCATCAGCCATCCTTCATCCTGGAGGAGAAGACAGAAATCAAGTGATAAGGGACAGATGTGAGCAGGGATTTTTGTTACAGAGTGCAGGCCAAGGAGGGGTCAAGGTATTATCAAAGCCATGCTTGTATTTGGCTTGGAGACAATCCAGTAGGAGTATGGGGAAGAAGGAAAAAATTCATTTGTTCTGTTTTAAACAGAAAGAATGCTACATCCCACCAGAGTTGGTACCAAAGCTCCAATTTGACCCAGACTGTGCAGACACAGTGAAACTGCAAAGAATGAAGTGTAACAGAAACATATTGTCATTTACACCCACTAAAGCAGGAGAAATTCTGCCAAAAGGGACCCTAGAGCTATAGGATGGAAATCACCTATCTCACCTTTCACCACCTAAACATGAGGGGTCCAGCATTTTCCATAGCCATAAAAGAGACAGGCACCTCCAGAGTGTAATTCAACCCATTCATCTTGGGCACAGCTCTCTAGAAAGGAAGAATGAGTCCCTGGAAGTGCTCATCCCCTGCTTCAGTCAGAGTGCCTGATGATTAGCATTAGGTGGTACAGGCAAAATAAGTCTTGTTTGCCATGCTGAAATTCTGATCTATGAGAATTGGGAGCTGAGAAGCGCAACACATCTTCCCAAAACTCAGCAGTCTGTTGAGCTTGATGCAGCGTGAGTTCAGCAAAACTCTCAGACTCTGGATGCACATGATTTAAGACTCAAGGTCTCTGCAGGGTCTTCCCTAGCCACCAACCTATACATCTATAAACATCTATGAATTTTCACTGAGTCAAATGGAGTCCTGCTTAGTAGAATCTGCTCATGAGGAGAACCAGACTTTTCACCCTCTGCCTGCAGGCTGTCTAGCATCAAGATTTCTGCTCCATCCTAGGCATATGAGGGAGACAAGATATTCAAGGTGGGAAGGCTACAGTTTTTGCAGCTCAGCTGTGCTTGCAGCTCAGCAGCTCACCATTCTCCACATGTCTTGGAGCTGCCACCACGGAAGCACCCCTTCAGCATGCAAATGTACCCTCTCATGTGAGCCATTTGCAGTGGGGCAGCCTACAGGTTAAGGGTGCAGCATGAGGCACAAGAGCTGCATAGCTCTGGGTGCCTGCAGGCTCACTTAGCCCTTGCTGCTGCCTGAGATTTTAACATCCAGGAGATGTCACGGGAATGGCATGAGATGGGAGCCCATCTGCAGCCGCCAGCTGCAGGGGCTGTGGGACGATTGACATGCCATAAATCAGGAAGACAAACAACTAGGCAGAAGACATTGGGCCCAAGTGTCTGGAAGGCAGCTCCCAGCCCACAGCACGCCAAGCACAAAAGCTCATCCATTTGCACATAGCGTCTGTGCCATACAGCATGCATCACTCCCACCACATCCTGCTACCAGGGGTCTCCTCAGCTCTAGGGATTAGACACAAGGACCCAGCCTGAGCCCTAACAATTTTAAACCATGCCACTTAAGTGCCAGCTTCAAAGCATTGCTGCCTTCAACCCTTTCTTCTATCAAGAGAGGTGAATCCAGGCCTGGATGACTTACCCACAAACTGATACCTAAGCTGCAAGATGGGGACATGGACAACAGTCTATTATCCTAAGCTTCCTCCACTCACGTGCACAGTTCATGCACATGTTAACAGCCAGCATTTTCTGGCTGGGGACAGTCAAGGTTAGGAAATGAGCTGTAGCACAGGATGCACTGTAGAAGGGTTAAGGGGCTTCAGTGCAGCTACAGTGTTATGTTAGCAACACTCAGAGCTCACCCTCTGCAGCTTGGAGAGTCTCGAGTTCATGGCTGTTGCACCCACATCCAGCTAGAGTGCAAACACAGGGCGTTGAAAAACTGCTCCACAAACGCCAACTCCTACCACAGAAACTAGGGGAGCTGCCAGTCTTTTCCCATCCAGAAAGCTTTCTGAGAAAGAAATGCTCAGAAATGCTTGTGCAGGGCAGTTTCACTCAGTTAAATCTTGTCTCCAGAAGGAATCACCGTGTGTTCCCCAAAGAGCCTGTCCCCCCTAGCTCTGTGGGAACTGTTGGCAGATTATAGCTCCATTTCACAGGCATCAGCACAATCTGCCTTCATAATTCACAAAGCCAACAGATGAGCCACAAAGAGGATCCACGTCTTCTGAGGTAGTGAACTACCTCACCTGCCCTTTATCTCTTGTGGAATCCAGATCTTGTCTGGACTTGGCCAAACCCAAAGAGCTGATAACTGTTGAATCGATTTGGAGAATTTTCTTTCTTTTCCAAAAAACCTGGAGATGTGACCATGAATTTTATAGAAACACCATCTCTCTCAGTGGAAGAAGTAATACTGCTGCAGATTATCAGCTGGGTGCCCCTCAAACACAGCAAGTGAAGAGGACTTAGTCAAGGCTTCCAGAAATAACTCAAAGAAAAATATGGCCAATTAAATTCAAGTTGAAGATGGGCAGCAAGTCTGTTCTCTGGGGCTGAGAGACCTGCTCCAGCCTTTGATTCTGCTGCCATCTCCTGATCAAACATGGTCGTTTGGAAACAGCCATTGCTATGGTGAAGTACAAGGCACCATCCACTGCCAGCTGCTTTCTTGGAGCTCCAAAATTTCTCAAAACAGGAGAAAAAAATCATCCTGAAGTGCTGTAGTGATCACAGGGAATGTGTATCAATTTAAGGGGCAGTGAGGAGGTAAAATATGGGCTCTGTTGGACTCCCTGATTACAGGAGCCATAGTATTGGCTGAAATGTTCTGATAGGGACAGGAACCCAAGGCTACTCCATATGCTTTATGCAGGATAATGTCTCCACTTTCCAGTAACAAGAAGAGTTCTCCCCCCTGTTGCAGGAAGCCAATCTCAAGCTCAAGGACAATCATCTCTCTTGCCAGCTCCCAGCCACAAACTAATGGCTCTGCATCCAGCCAGCCGACTGTTAGTGAAGAAAGAAGCAGCTCTAGAAATCCCGTTGGCTTCACATGGGCCAGGCTCACACCCCATCTTCCCCACTCACCTGCTCCTCAGGGTTCTCAAATGGAATCACAAGCACCACATCCCCGGCCTTCAGCTGCAGCTCATCACTGTCGGTGGCGGTGTAATCGTGCATGGCCTGGACCTACAGAGAGAGGAGAGGAGAGGACAGGAGAGGTGGGTGAGCCCAGCCTTCTCTCACCCAGCTCCGTAACAGGTGACAAGGCTTTCCTCTTCATTGATTCACTGCATGATTCAGGTTGGAAAGCACATTTGGAGGGCATCTGATCGAACCTGATGCTTAATGTAGGGCAAGCTTTGATCACCAATGTCACATCCAGGGGAATAACTGCTTCCCTTAATTTAATGACTACAGGCTTGTTCATACAGCCTGACATGCAGCCCTCCTTTGCCACAACAGCATCCTGGTGAGTCTCCTGCAATTTGTTGTGTATCAGCACCTCCCTGTCCTTTAGGAGGATTGAATTCTCATGGTGTGGACATAAAAACCTCACAGGGTAGAAAGACAGTGTCCACTTGAATGGTGCCCTGTATTCTTTCTGCAGCTGGAGTGCAAGGCTATTAGAGATCATAGCTTCCCACCTCTGTCACAGCAAGCAGGGAGAGGAAATGTAGGAAAGACAATTAGTTTGGATGATGATATCCTGCCATGTTTTCTCTTTGTATTCAGCCTAATGCCTTTCAACATCTGTGTTACAGCTTTTCTACTTCAAACCACAACTCTCCACTTTGAGCACTATAGCCTATAATGACACCTGTAACAAGCTGCTATGAGCCTCCTATTGTTCATCAGGGTTTCACCATTCTTCTGATTTTAGTAGGACTCCCAGGAAAAAACAATGGACACAACTAAAGCAGAGAAAAGTAGTCCTACAGCAGGAGGCTGTAATTTCTCACTTTTCAGGGCATGATGCACCTATGCTGTTTTCCTACCATATTCCATTATACACATTACATTTGCGGCCTATCTTCACCCAGAATCACTCCTTCCTCTACTCCCCTGAAAAAAGCTGCAAGTAGTCTTTGACATATTCAGAATACCCACCTAACTTCCCTTCCTACTCCTTTATCATCCTCTGTTCATCCTGGCTTTCTCATTTCTCCAAATAGAGTCCTCTGTTTCTGTTGGTATTTCCAACTCTTCTCCAATTACCACTTGCATCAAAGCTTAACTTTTTAAGTTGGGAGCACAACTTTTTATCTACTATCCAGAGTCTGTGACTGACACTACCACACCACCAAGACAGAAACAACTGCAGCAGAGAGAAGGGGTTTTCCTACACAGCACAGTAACACCTTTAGATACTGATGCTCTTACACAGTCCTTTGAAACATTTGGAACTGCATGATGCAGCACTGAGGAAGGTGTATCTCTCCTTCAACTTCCTTTATGCCTTTTAATGTTGCAGAGCCCATGGACATGCTGAGTGAAAGCAACTAATTCATTACAGGAAAGAAAAGATAATCACCACAAACTCAATGCCCCACCACCAAACACTCACCTTGAACAGAAATCCTGGGGGCATGTCAGCTCTTTCAGATGAAGCACCTCCTTCCACAGCGCCATTGACAGTTGCAGGGAAAGTTTCCACAACAACAGCAGGCAGAGAGGTCTGGTAGGCAGTGGCAGCCAAGGAAGGAAAAAAGCCATTGAGAAAAAACAATCCAAAACTGAAGCTCCAAGTCAATCCTGGAGGATCCACATCCCAACCACCCCATGGCTTCAGTGGGTTTTCCCAGCACACCAGACAGTGACAAAAACACCCCAAAGGACAGTAGAGGCAGTTGTGAGAAGGCAGGATTGGTGACTGCTGTCTTCCCCTGCCTAAGGCTGCAGAAAGGCAGAGATGATTTATAGTTTTTCTGGGACCATAATGCCCAGTATTTCCCATTTGCTGTGGTCACAATGCATTCATACAGAGCCCTCATGGAACAGACAATTCAAATTTGACAGCCTATAAGAACCAAGCTGACATGAGCTGGGACCTACTCCAGTCCCCTAAAAAGGTGGCAGTGTCACCAAGAAAAAGAGGAAGCCTAGATATTCAGGGGACACAGGCAGAGCCCAGAGGACATAGCAGATAAAATAAATTGCAAGCAAGGGGGAATCCGGCAGACAATGCAAGCTTAGGACAGCATGGACTGGCTTCTCAGGATGGGTGAAGGGACAATTCTTTTAGTGAATCTTCCAGCAGAACTTCTCCCTAAGCACTACACAGATAAAATGCGACAACTAAGCCTCTGAATAAGAGCATTGTAACTCCTTAGGTGGCATGGATGTGCCTTTCCAAGCTATGCAGCTCTTTTCCCAGCCCAGTCTCCCACATCTTCTGTATAACAAAAGGATGTGATGGAGAAAAGGGACTGCTGTCCCTTCAGGTATTTACCGAGTCAGCTTCAGTTTTAGATGCTTCAGCTCCAGCTGCTGCTTCTGATCCAGCTGCTTCAGCTCTTGCATGGGCTGCTTCTGCAGGCTGCAATACAAAAGTTATCCCGGTGGGAAGTTATTCTCATTCCAGATACATATGTGTGCAGCAACGTGCAGCCAGCCTGCTCAAGTGCTCTGCTGCTGCCTGCTGCCACCTGCTGCAAACAGGTGAGACACTGCAAGCTCTGGCTATATTTCTTCTTCCCTCTTTCTCTGCAATCCATAGAAATCACCACATATCCTGAGTTGCCTCAATTCCCTCACTCTAGGCTCACAGCAGGAAATCAATGAAACTCCAAAAATTTCGTGCATCTCCTTTTCACAATTTAAACTGAAGACCTACTTTACACATGCACAGTATCTACTGTTACATCTAGATTGCCCACTTGTATGTTAATGCAAGTTCTCTTGCATGCTAAAGTACAAGGATCTCTCTATAAGCTACTTCCAAGGATACAATCACAGAATATTTAAGCACTTGCCGCCTCCCAGAAACAGAAGAGCATTGTAGTGATGTGTTCAGATATGGAACTTAGTCTGGACCCAGCATCAACATGACATTAACTCTGTTTTAACACAAAACTAAAGATATCCATTTGCCCCTCCCAGACATTGCAGCAATGTAGAAAGTATGTTGGATCTGGTAGCATCAATGTTGTAGATCAGCCCACTGGGAGATGGACCAGGCAGCATCTGGGAAGAATCCCAAGATTTGCCATTTTTAATACATGGGAATAACCAGCTTCAGCATGCCTACATGCCTCATACACTTGATAAATATGTTGTCCTGGTTCAGCTGGGATACAGGTTATTTTCTTCCTAATAGCTGGTACAGGACCACATTTTGAATTTAGAATGAGAGTAGAGAAGATAACACACTGATGTTTTAGTTATTGCTGCCCAGTGCAAGTCAAGGACTTTTCAGCTTCTCATGATGCCCTGACGGCAAGGAGCCTGGGGGGTACAAGAAGTTGGGAGAGGACACAGCCAGGACAGGTGATCCAAACTGGCTGAAGGGATATTCCCAACCATATGTCATCATGCTCAGTGTATAAACTAGGGAGAAAGCTGGCCAAGGGCCACTGCTCAGGAATGGGCTGGGCACCAGTGGTGATGAGCAATTGTTTTTCCTTTGCATAACTTGTTTTTCTTGAGTTTTATTTATATCTTATTGTTATTTTCCTTTACATGATAATTGATTATTGAATCAAGCTGTTCTCATCTCAACCCACAAGTTTCCTTACTTTTACTCTTCCAATTTTCTGCCCATCAAGGGGAGGGAAATAAGCTATCAGGGAAATGGTGCTTAGTTGCCAGCTGCAGTTAAACCATGACACATGTACCACTGAATACAATCATATTCAAAACAGGGCATCGTCCAGATTTCTTAATGTTGCAATTCTCATAGTCCCAACCTTAAAAAAGCCCAGTGTAAAGCAATGACCATGGTAACCCTTAAATATACACCCATCTGGCTACTAGCCACGCATTGGCACAATGCTCCAAGTAGTATTCTAATAGCAGCAATAACAAAGAAATATATCCTTGATCTGATAAAAATCCATTACTGTACCTTCAGCTGCTCCAGTGGTGTCATCTAACACATGCTTTCCTCTCCTATCACATCCTTCCTCATGTCTCCCCATCACCATGTCCACAGGCCTATACTGCCAGAAGACATTACAAAGAGCAGAGCTGTTCCCACCCAACAGAGGATTCCCTCTGCAGCTTTGGTAGTGCTAAGGCAAATATATGCATATGAAAGGCTACAAAGGCTTCTCTTGTATAATTGGATTCACTCCCAGGTTGCTTTTTATTTGGATTCAGTGAAACTGGAATTGGGGCTGATGCCAGGCCAACTCTATCTGGCCAAGCATGTTTTTTATGTGGACCAGTGAAAAGGAGCTCAGCATGAGGGTTTCTTTCTTAAAAGTAGCTAATTTGCAAAACCAGTATTTAATAATCAGAAAAACTGAATCTAAATTAATCCCCTGCATTTCAACATGTCAGCTACTAATTTTTCTATTTTATACACCTGTGGGGCATCCCAAGGCCTATAAAAGCATTTACAGTCATGGAAAAATACCACAGGGAGAAGAAGAAATGCTCACTGCTGTTACCAGGATTGAAAGCTTTGATTATTCCAACAGCAGCACCATATTCACCAAATGCAAGTTTTCCATTCTGCAGAACTAAGTAAGCTCTGTCGCATTCAAGTTTCTATGCAGTTGTTAACCTCATGGTCTACAGGGCTACATAACCATACAAGTCTCCTCTCATCAACATCAAAAGCACTTCAGAAAGCTTGAAGAGGAAGATTCTTCAGCTATAGAGAGCTCTGTTCTTTGACCATATATGGTATGCCAAGGTGAGAACTGGTATGGCGAGAACATCTCGACTAGTAGCATTCCCTGGTTGAGTAAATTGTCCTTTGGGTGAAATCAGTTTCCAAGAAGGGAATTATGGCCCAAAACACTTTTTACACCCAAGACTGTAAGTACAGCTCAATCAGATACAGTCATACCTCACCCCTGCCCATCCACTTAAAAGGAATAAGATTTTTCTTTGCTAAACCAGCCTTTCCTCTCTCACAAAGACAGACTGACAATGCACATAAACAGGAATGATGGATGTTGAACACTGATGGCTGACAAAACACACAAGGGAAACCTCTTCCTTGACATCACCTAAGCTCATGTGAAGGAGAGTACCAGCCACAGGGTCCATAGGCCAGGCTCTCCGTCACGTCTAAGTCATGCCCTCTCACGCACTCACTCTGGGCCTGGGGAATGGAAAGGTTGGTAGGACTCAATTCCCCAGCATAAGCCAAGGCCATGAGCTCACACATTAGATACAGTCACAGCTCAAGCAGCAGGCTTGAATACCCACATCAAGTGTTTTCTGTCCAAAGTGCTGGCTGTTGGTCCAGAGGGACTAAAAAGCAGTTATGCTTGAAATATCTCACAAAGGGCTAATGTGCTGCAGCCTGAGACCTTCCCAAACCAGATGGATATAGAGGGCATAAATAAGGGTCTGGTTTCGGTTCAGATGCAGAGTATGTGTAGGGTCTCCCTTGTCAGCGAGCTTCAAACTGAGGTCGAGACAGATGCCAGTTGAGTCTTGGGCCTGCACCTAACTTTCAGTGTAGACACAGGGTGAGCTAATTCACATCAATCAGCCTTTCTGACAATGACAGTTGATGAACAGGAAACACCACAGATAACTCCAGATGAGCAGATACCCAATGGTACAGGCAGTAATGATGAGGGGCAGCTGGAGATATTTATGTATTGCACACAAGACCAACAGGATGTACAGAGTTTAGGAAATACTGTGTTGTAAAGAGTGAGCATGATGCCACAGTGGTATTAAGTATGAGGTGAAGGTCACAGCATTATGCCAAGGGAAAGATAAGTGAGTTAGCAGGAAAAAGCAATGGGTTTGTGCACTGGTAGAATTATAAGTGTTAGAGTGCCAGACTTGACTTTCAAACATGTCCCATGTTTGCCCCTGTGGCTTCAGAGATGGCACATAAGTGGGTTCAGCAGCACATATAGCAACTTTGGTTCAGGGTGTGCAGAAAGGAAAAGCAGTGAGGGAAAGGAGACAGGTATGCAGAGATGGCACTGGCATGTGAACAGTACATGATGAGAGATGAAAGCTGTATGAATTTCTTACCTCCCATAAATCCCAAGGTAAAGACTAAGCATGTCAAAGAGCAACAAAAATAAAACATGTTTATACGTGATTATTTCAGTGAGTACAAACATTACAAATGCTGATCAGACTGAAGCAGACATACACATTCAACAGCACTTATCTCTGCATGTTTTGAAAATACTAACAAAGTACCTGAATTTATACACCCATCCCCACTGCATATTCAAATCTAAGCAGCAAGGCATTTGAGTAAGGTTTTTTTCTACCTCTGGTATGAAGGGAGACAGTCAAGCCACATTCAGTCAGCAGTGACAGATCACATAGAAAAAAAACAACAACCAAACAAACAAAACCCCAAACTAAACTCATGAGTTTGCAGTCCATTAGGGTTAAATGTTTTCCCGTGTATCTACACCCAACATAGTATGATTTCAGAACAAGACATCAACTGGTGCCCCAACCCTGGCAGCTTTCAAGGCCAGGCTGGATAAGGCCTTGAGCAACCTGGCCGAATGCAAGGTGTCTCTGCCGATGGCATGTGGGGTTGGCACTAGATGACCTTTAAGGTCCCTTCCAATCCCTTAACGTTCTATGATTCTATGGTGTCTTTGGATCAGTAGTGAAATATCTTAACCTCTTTGCCATACTGCCCACTGTATAGGAAATAAATCTCACTGCTTTGATAAGTAGGTGATTTTCACTAGGTTGTATACTTTGGCTACCATTAGAAATTATCAATTTCAGACTCTTACTGTCTTCTGAAGCTAATAATAATTAGATTAGAACACCAAATATTCTATTGCTGAGCAGTTTTGGAAAACCCATTTAGTGTAATATCTGTTGCTTGCTGAAAGGGTAACAAATAATTCCATTTTAAGTCTAATTTATACTCATATCCTATGTCAGTATAACCAATTATCCAAGTTATAACTGTTGAATAAGAAAAAAAAATCCTAGTAAATAAATCTAAAAAAAAAAAATCTTATCCTGTAAATTTATCTTTCAGCTTGTTCTGTAAGGCAAGTAGACACAAAATGCCCATCTACCCACTTAAAGTTCAAAAAAAGGGTAGCTTGCCATAGTGGTGTGTATCAAATTATGATAATAACTACTATCTTGCAGATACAGTATTTTAATTTAGGAGAATCAAATGCCTAATGTTTGATCTCTTTAATAAGAGAGGTCTTATTCCTATAGAAATCTGTGCCATACAGACCTCCTTGACCTGATGATACTGGAGAAATACTGTAAACATCCCAATTATGTTTATTACAAATTTTAATGGCATCCTCAAAAAATAAGCAGTCCATACATATCAAATGGAAAATCTCAGTGAGGACAACAGCAAAATTCAGGATGCATTTCAAAGCCTCCAGCCATTTAGACATCAAATGAAGTGCGGTCCACCTGCCTCTGATGGTGGACAGGACTGGGTACAGGCCAGACCAGAATTAGGGCTTTTTGATACCGCACTGTGCAGCACTGTGACCAAGGAGGAGGCTACTTCTTAACTATGAACACAGGCTACGTTACACACAGAAAAAGGAAGGCCTTCACATCACTTGAATATGGATCTACAGCTTTATTCACCTTAAGTCACTGCAGATTATCAAAGTGTCTGTTAATTAAAAATCCCTTTGAGAGCAATTTATAACAGGAGCACAGAACTCAAGCTGAATTCCCATCCATGGAGTGAGTAACAGTTTAAATCCATATAGCATACATTAAGTTGAACGAGGCATCAATCAGTAGATCGTAAGAGCAAAGCACAAGCATCCCACAAACACCTAGTGCCAGACTGTGGCCAGGCTAGTGGCCATCTGATTCTCACTGGACTTGCATATCCAGCAGTGAAGACCAAGGTGTCTAGTGCCCAGGTCTGGGCTCCCGCATGTCAGGCCCAGCCACCCACAGCTCAGGTCCACATTATCATTCAGGTGACTGCAAGTCACAACACATGTGGCAACGAGTCAGTTACAAAGGCAGAAGGAATGGCGATATGAACCAACCTGGGAGGCAGGTGTGGGGGTCTTCCCCACAGTGGCATCTGGTTTAATGGGATCAAAATCCAGATCCAACAGGCTGGCTCCCTCCTGGAAGGGCCCAGGGGCATCAAACTTGGCAGCAGTGAGGAAGAAAAGCAGTACGAGCATTAGACACACGCGCGGGCATGCACAGTACAGGGAGGGTATGTGATATCCCAGAGCTAAAGCTGCAAGCGCAGAAGACATGGTGGCAATGCAAACACCTGATGTGACTCCTGACTGCCTGGATCCTACAATCACAAGCAGGTAGCATAGGGTGCCACTGTAAAGCAAATCTGAGCCTTTTCCACAGGACTCATTCATCTTCCCACTTGGCCAAATGAACTGACGTGGTGTTAGCACCTGACCTGCTGTGGTCAAAAGGATCACTGCCACTGTTGAGTCAGAAAGGCTGTTCTTCTATTTATATCTATTCCTCACAGCTCATCCAAATGTCTTTGTACTGACAGACCAAGACGGACTCCCTCAAATACATACAAAAGAACTGCCATCTATACAACCTAACTCAGCAACAAAAATCCAGGGAGAAAACCACTCAGACTGCTGGAAGGCAAATCTGAGAGACCTCAGAGCTAACTACCAAAGCTCCTAATTTCCTCCTGCCTTCTGAGACAGAAACACAAAATACAGCAGCTCATCTTAGTAAGATATTTGAATTCCTTCCAAGTTCAAAAATGGCATTTTCAATGGTTTCCATTTCTGGGCAACCCAGAAATATACAGACACAAGTCTTCTGAAAAAGCATAAATTTGAGAAGCTTTGCTACTCTCTACAATTTCAGCAGAATAACTCCCTTTGAATGATTAATGCTCTACCTAAGGACAATGATGGCACATTTGCTGATTGCCATTAATAAAACAGTCACTACAAAGGACACGAGTCATTAGTATTCAAAACTGGACTATCATTTTTGTGTTTTAGACGTAATCTAACCATTACAAGACACTCCTTTCTACTCAGCTTCAGAGGAAGCTGCTCTCTCCAGGAAGTCAGGAAGATTTGCCCCTGTTTCCTCTGATCTCCCAGGAGACTGGTCTTACTGTTTCAGTGACCTTTTCAACAAATGTGGCAAGTTGGTCTCCACAGTTATATCATAGCCCCACAATGGAAAAACTTCTGTAAAGTAGCAAGACACACCACTTAAGAGAAATTCCCTGAATACCATCACCACCACCACCATCACTTCACCTCCTCTAATTTCCTCTTACTCCAGTTCTCTTAGAGATTTTTCTCTCCCTTACGAACATGTCTTTTTGACATCCACAACGATGAGGACAAGGAATCAAGCTCTCTCATATCACAATATAAACCCTGACCAGTATGCAAAAACTAAGTGGCATTCTGCTATGCTCTTCCAACACATCCAGCCTACCCATCAGAGTGGTTCCAAACCCAGTCTTTAGTTTTGTTTGGGAGTGAGACATCAAAGGCTGCAGTCATAGAATAGTCTTACCTGCCATTCAAGATTTAAATGCAAGGGCTAGCACTCCTTGCCTTTATCCAGATCTCCCACAGGACAGCTCATTTGAAACTAAGACACCTCTCATTGGAACTGAGACATCTGACAGGAACAGCCCTGAGCAACACACTGAGTGTTAGGAGCTGTTGGGTACTTCAGTGAAGATTGTTTTGGCAATCAGAGTCCTTCCTTGGAACTACCATCTAATTAAAAGTGACAACACGTGCCACCCTGGGTCAGAGCACTGACCAGGTGCAGAAGAGCACATCTGTCTAAGGGCTGGCATTCACATGGAAATACATGATACAAACCATGGAGCAGACAGAGCTGTCCATTACAATGCAGGAGAAGGAAGCACAGAAAATGACAGAGTTGCTCAGCTGCCTGCGGTCCCCGCCTTCCAACACTGATGTCAAATCATCTCTTCGCTCAGCAACACAAAATCTGACATGGACTTCCTTCCCTCCCCACTTCTCTGCTCCTCAGCAGATGGATGGAAGGTGGCAAACCAGAGGCAATGGAGCAGCATGATGCAAAGAGAAGTTAGGGAATGAGTCACAGATGAGCACTAATAGAGACATGATTTGTGCTTTAACAAGCACTTAGGGAGAAAAATATATATATATACATACATATGTATATATATAAATATATAAAATATATACAAGTATTTCATGATACAGTCAGAAATCTGGTCAGGCTCTTATATACATAAGGATGGCCATTCACCTAGATTCAACACAGAACTCCCTACCTGGGCATCCTCTCTGGCAGTGATGTAAATAAAAGGGAAAGTGAAGAGGAAAATATATAATTTGAAAACGTTTTTCCTTTCTCAGGGCTTCAAAAGGTGCCACCTGACAAGACTGTGTAAGCAGTCCTAACTCAACAGCAGGCACAGTCCTGCCCATCTAACTGCAGGCCTCTATTCTTTGCAAAAAGAACTTCACGCAGTTCCAGTTGGTCTTTCCTAGGTAGGTGTGGGCTTTAAGCCACAAAATCCATATGTAAAGGTATAGAAAGCAAAAAACTGCCATCTCCCAAAACTGGTAGAGATACCTGGGTCAGCAGTTAGGGCCATACATGAGCAGAAAAAGACATCCTTCATCCACACGCGGCATCAGTGAGTCTGGAGAGAGCATACCATTGGACATTAAAAGAGCTGTAATCCATGTGCATTGCTGCTGAACAAATGTAGTGATTACTTTCTGGCATCTTGACCAGCTGCATTTCTCCTGTTTCCTCTATGAATGAAAGCTCTCAAAGGGCAGAGTGTTACTCAAGGCTGCCTTCTAGCCACCCTCCCCTTTAAGGTAGCCTCCTATCTAACTCACTGCCCTCCAAGATGCAATGCTGAGCTTCCTTTCCTCCTTCACCTGACCAGGTTTCATGACTTAACACCTTCACAGAGAAGAAAGAATGAAAGGAAAAGTTCAGAGGCAGATAAAAATTAGGCAGGGCATAGCAGCTAACCTGCGAAGGGGTTGTCACACTTATCTCAGGGACAAAATTGTCATCAAACAGACTGATGATGTTCTCCTGCTTGATCTCCTTGGAGGGGGTGACTTTTGGAGGCGGAGGCACCGGAGGCCCTTTCCTCAACTGCATGCAAGTGAGCACACAGCCACAGCACAGACGGCGACACCCAAAAAAACCAAAGACAGGAACCAGGTTAGTCACAAAAACTGAAGGTGAGGGAAATCACAATCACTGGCATAGAGCACGGTCCAATCAACTCCACCTGAAGAGGGAGGGAGTGGGGGGTGAAGGGCTGTATTGAAACAAAACAAAATAAACAACCACACGCCTCCAGAGAAGGTTTGGCATCATTAGTTACACTTCAGCCATGGGCAAGTTTCCCTCTGCAGAGGAGAAGCGTAACACAATTAATATGCATTGACAGGACATGCATACATAATTAAAGCATGTGCAACCTTCAAAAGAACCACTGGGAAGGGAACAGATCAGTTACTGAGAACATGATCCAACAGAACAGGCCAGCACTGCCTCCCTTTGCTGTACTTACCATACCTACGGGAATGAGAGAAGAGGCTCAATTTGTCCTACTATGGGCAGGTGACCGTGAGGACAGGCTGATCTGCCCAGTACTGGCTCCCTGGTGCACTGATTATCAGTGTGCTGTAAGAAAGGTCTGAAGGAGCTCTTGATGGCATCTTAGCTTTAGACAAGAACATCTCAAACTGCCGAGAAGCCACGGCTGCTGTGAACCCAACTCTGCTCTCAGTTTCACCAGTGAGCACTGACACTAATGAAGTCATGTATTCCAAATGGAGATCCCAGGGAATGCATAAAACCATCTGACCCAGTAGCTCTAATACCTAATACCCACCATCACGCTAAAGACTCAGCCTGACACTGCATTCACAAGCCTGTGGAAGCTGTGGTAGACTCTCCCTAGATCAACCCATCCACATCCTTTTTATACTTTCCTGTGCTCAAAGCTTAATGATCATTTCTAGCTCAAATCAGACTTTGAGGAGCTGCTACTGTATTGAAACAAAGCAGCCATACAAGTTCCCAGCATCAAAGCAATGTTCAGCAGTGACAACACTTTCCATTTACAATGCAGTTTTACAGCTGCTTGATCTTCTCATCATACCTAGGATCCCAAGGCAGTAAGACTCAGAAACTTGGCAATGTGCACCCAGTCTATCAGCATCAAGCCCAGATCTGAAACACAGAAATCCATGGCTCCTAGTCCTGTGTTCACACTCCTCCAACTTATAACTGAGCTCTACAAGGCATTTATTTAGATTCCTAACAACATGCCTGCTTTTCTACAGGGTTAACCTACTTTAGGGAGAGTGAGTGTGTGTGAAAACACGCAATTTTCCCCTGTATAGCTAAGTAGGGGAAATAATAAAAATAATGTGTTCTTCCAACTTTTCACTGGTTGCAGAAGGTGGCGTGTCCATACTCCCTGAGGACAAACCCTTCCTGAAAAACCCCTGCTTGCAAGATGAGATCTGAAATTTCAGGGAAAAGCTATTCTCAGAACCGAGCCACCCTCTGCAGAAATGAAAGGCTCCAATTACTAACTCTAAAGTCAAAAATATCACAGCTCTTCTGCTATTTATTTCTCTAATATAGTTAGTCTCCTTCCTTCCAATGCATTAATGTTTTGGAGACGATCACTTCCACATTATCCAGCATTACCTCCAGTAGCAGTCTAAAATCACATTTCAAAGACAAGATGACTACATACTGATGTTGGGTTATACCCACAAATTAATCACTCACTAAAAGCTTTGTTACCTAGAATAAAGCAAATCATCTAAAATTTTTCTGCTGACTTGGATCCCCCAGAGCTTTACCTGTCAAAATTCAACATACTTGCACTGATTTCAAAAGTCTCATTAGAGCATTTCAGTGGTGTAACTGAGAGCAGATGTCTGACCTTTGAAGTTTCATGGACTCCCTGAAGTCCTGTGTCATCATCAAATTACTATGCAGAGAGCTGACAACATTCATTTCTTCCTAAAGACAGAAATAAACTGTTCTCAAGAATTAAAGGACAGTAAAAGAGGTTTGGGGTTTTTCTGTGGTATAGGGAACAGTTCAAAATTTAGTTAGCATTTATTTGGTCACTCCTGTTTTGCCATCTTTCTTTCCACAGCTTTGTTTGTGGTTTGTGTTAGTATTTCAGACGTGAAGAGGCCAGAGAATTGTTCTTGCTTTTTGCATTTTGGTCCATCCTCCTGCAGAGGGTGAGGTCCCCCAGCCTCCCTTGGAGGACTGTTGAACAAATCACTTACCCAGAGGTCAAAAGCAATAATACCTGTGAAGACTTCAGTATTAAAGTTGAACACTGTTGAGACAGCAGACACCTGTGTTTCCCAGCTGGCTGGCAAGCTGACACACTTTCTAGACTTTATCCATACAGACACCAGGCTTGGCTCTGAGTGTGAAACTCCTGCCCTTGTCTTCCCTCCCTCTGGAGCCAGCTACATCTCTTATCAGGTAGTGTGAATATGGAGTGGAGCTCTTGCTCTTCACTGTAGTGATGCCTGGGGGGATGAATTAAATATAGACTGGGAACGAGCTGCCAGGTGGTGGCAGCATTAGCTGTAAATACCATTTCAGTCTCGTCCTGAGGCCCATCCAAGGTTCGAGCAGGGCTGCACTGGAATATTCTGCTTGCTTGGCAAGGGATGCTTCTAGCCCCATTCCTGTGGGCAGGCAGGCAGCAAGTGAATAAGAAAGCACTTGCAGGCTGGCAAAAACAAAGGTTATCTGTGCTATTTAAAGGAAAGTGAAGAAGCCAAACTAATTAAGACAAGTCCACAGGCAGGGTGTGTGAAGTCTGCTGTGAACAGCTTAATAAATCTGTACAATTTCTTGTTCAAAATTTTAGTCAAGTTCTAGAAACCTCTGGTGGGGGTGGAGGGGGAATCAAAACCAAACCTACAACAGAAAGGTAATTGTGGATATACTATCTTCACCATACACACAGCCTACTCCAAGGTCCTAGCCAGGGTTGTGGTGAAGCCACTCTAGGCTGTGCAATGCTGAGCTCTACAGAGACCCTGGAGAAGTCCTGAAAAGACGCTGCCAGGCATCCACACATCTCACAGGGCTGGAACCTTTCGCCAATGCAAAAACACCCCCTTCCTGTCCCTGGATAATCACAAAAGTCAAAAATGCAGTGGAGAGAAAAATATTCTGGGAGGCTCTCCAGAAACAGGAGACAGCCTACCCCACAGGCTTGGATTTGGAATCATGCTGCTACATATGGCAACAGCAAAGAAGTTATGGATTGCACTCATCTCTTTTCAGAGGCAATAGGTTTTCCCATACCAGCTTGGCCAGAACCTCTCTCAGCTTTAGTTTTTCCTGGAAGACTACTCCCTAGTGTCCCACTTACTGAGATACAAAGATTGGGGCCAAACATAAATTTGGCCTAGTTACTACTTTTCCCTACTAAGCTTTTCTCCCACTCAGCAACAGAGGGACAGGAAGGGGAACTAAATGTTTTATTTTCCTTAAATCCCAAAGTCAAAAATATCATATGATATGCTGAGTAGCTACATCTACTGTTTTGAACATGCTGCTGGCTATCTCCTGTGTATGGAAAGACCTAACAAAGCCCATATAGAAGGCATCAGACTCCATATAATGGACAATCTTCTTCCTGTAACTCACGTAATTTCCTCATAGCATAAGAATACAACTCCTTTATTTTTAGCATAATATGTTATCTTGGTAGTAAAGTAAAACATCCAAAGTACAGATGTTCTCCTCATCAGTAATAAACTTTTTTATTTTAACCTTCTTCAGCTACAGAAGTTCTTGAGAAGAAATTGGACCATTGAATTCCACATGTTAATTAAATGTAAAGAACAAACTTCCTTGCCTAGCTACAACTCCATCCTCCCTGGATCCTTCTTGGCCATCATATCAGACAGCAAAATATATAACTGGGCCTTCACCCTGTAAAGCCATTCAGAGATACTCAGTTCTTCCCTATGTGATATAAAGATGACCAAGAAGCAACTCGAATTCTCAGGAACTTTCTCAGGAACCAGTGAAAGAGAACAAAAACCATGTCACATTCTGTGTTCTCAGTAGCAGGATGAGGTCCAAAAAAGCAACTGCTGGATGTCTTTGACTCACAGAGCTTGTGCCATCAGCGGTCATACTGTGGAGACATGGTCAATGTCATGGGGACACTACCTGAGATGGTGACTTTGGGATGCTTGCCCCAGGCGCTTCCAAAGTGGATGGTTCCAGCTCATGGTTGACAGTCTTGGTCTCAGGGCTGGTGATGGGAGATCCATCTGGTGGAGGTGAGGGGCTTTTATTTGCTTTCGCTGGGGTGCTGTCACTGAAGGAAGCAGAGAGAGAAAGGGAGAGAGAGGGAGAGAGAAGGAGAGAGAAAGAGAGAGAAGTCTGAGCCAGGCCTAGGAAGAGTTGTGCTAACCAGACCAGATCAGTGGCCTCCATTATCTCTTTGCTTCACTGCCCAGACACATAATGAAGATACTTGAAGCCTCAACAACCTTCTGAGAAGCATCTTTGCTGAGTCACTTGCAGTCCAACACACTGCAGCAGCATTACATTGCAGCAGGCTACTCACTAACTTCCTACAGAATTGATATACTTGCCTCAGACACAGAAAAACAAAACCCAAAACATCCAGGCATACTTATTTTTCTAGATTCTAACCTAAGTGCCTGACATTAAACCATAGCCTTTAATGCTGAGGAAACAGATGGGGAAAGGAGTTCTTTGCTGTTCATTTAAGTTCTACAGATTAGAATTTTTCTGTGTAGTGGGCTACTGACACCTGTATGGGTTCTGACTAATAGATTCATAATACCTGAATAAGGCTGTAACCACAGAACATCATTTGCCTCTACGTGGTACAAACTGGCTAAGCTAGAAGAGAGGCAAACTAGCCAGAGGTTTCACAGATCATTCCAGACAGCAAAGAAACAGTGAGGTTCCAGCTGCTAATAGAGATTTCTCTATTATGAAAAGTCTCCCCAGTTGGTCTTTATTCCAGGACTGTTTCTGACACACAGAGAGATTCTTCAGGGAATTAAGCTGCAAGAGGCATACGCCAATGGCATTTGTTGGTTCATAGCTTGGACAGATTTGGGCAGATTTTTCAAAGGAATGGCAAGAGGCACACGCCTTTCCCTAGAGGGGTGCCTTGGCTGGGTGTCAAGTCAGTGCTTCAAAGTACAGAATAATGAAAATTTAGCAAAATGTTGGTTACCAGAGAATTTCAGCAGGGATGAAGGTAAAACTGTTTTCTCAACCAAATTCTCAGGAACAGCTGAATCATCTTGGTTGAAATTCAGCCCCCAAAAATCAACTAATCAATATATCTCAAGTCATACAGAAGTACACACACTGGTGAGGGATATTTCAGCAGAAGTGGTTACACTTTGGCAAAACTATACCCAGCTGAAAACAGAATATCACAGCATGTTGCAAAAAGGGTGTGCAACCTCATCTAAAGTATGTGATATTTGCCTCCACTTATAAAGTCATACTTCTTGTAAAGTTGATGGCCTTGGGAGAGGCTGAAAGAAACAGATCCTTTCCTACAACTTGATATAAGAAATCCTGCCACAGGACCAGAACTAGAGCAATGCGGACTGGATTCTGAAGGGACATCAAGTAATTTATTTCTTTGCTCTGATTCAAGAAGGCTCAGAACTTCAGACATGTACATCCACTCATACTTGGATGCCTAAGTTATGCTGGTCATTGGCTAACATGCATGATGGCCTCATTCCTAAACATTTGTTTACAACTGGGGGACAGCAAAAGGAAGAAGGGATAGCAAGGCATTTCAACAAACCTCCCCTTCCAAGCAAGCATCTCACCCTGGTCAGCATTCCAGTTTTCAAGCTCCCCATCCCGTTCCCTCTTCATTCACTTCGCCCTCACCCATTCCCCCCACTTTCTCCCCATATCCACATCCCACACGCACATTTGCCCACAAAGCACTTGTTCTCAGGTCCACATGCAGGTTGGACACTTCTGATGACACTGATGCCAGCAGCACACCAACATGATGCAACAAACTCAATGACGTTCTCTGCCAGCAGCTCTCAACCAGGGGCACACACACCAAGGGAAAAAGAGGGAAATGAAAAGGAAAAAGAGAAGGGGACAGACTAAAGAACATGTAGGCCAAGCCTTGCAGCTCTTAGTCTGACTGGATATGCCTACAGTGCCCTTCCTCAAAGGTTCCCAGAAATCATTTCAATACAGTGGGTTGTGTGACGGATTCTGCAAAATTTACAAGGTTGTGCTACAGATTCAAAATAGTAACAGTTGGAGGGTGAAGGTAAGGAAGTCCTGATCTAAATGGGAGCAACCAGGAAACAGCAGGAAATGACAGAAAACATCCTCTGATGCTAGAGTGGTAGGGGATAGGGGGGAAACCACTTTACCTTCCCCAGAGCTGAAAGCACTTTGGAGAAGATGGGGGACAGAGTAATCTACACCTGACTGCCAGGACTCTCAAATGCCCAGACTACACTGGGAATACTGGGACTACTGGTTATCAGCTGGCCTACCAAGACAAGAGTAAACTTTTCCTTCTAGGGACTTAAAAAGGCCATTTCTCCCAGTGAGAAAGAAGTTTAGGCTTATTTTCTAAAGGTCATGAAACAGCTTTGTAGTGCCTTATTACTGGTGCCTGGCAATTACTTAATTTGGAGATATATTGGTAAAAGGCTCCCATGTGAGTCAGCCCTTGTAGGATGAGGGGAAGAAACTGGGCTGTAAGGGCCCCACACTAAAGATTTCATTAAGTCACTACTATTTACAGCTTGTTTGATGTGCTGGCCAATCCCCCTAGGAAAATGCCAGTGCTAATTTTGGCTGAGCCTTTTTCAGCCCCCCCGAGCAGCACCTTCATTCCTGCACTTGTTGCACGAATTTAGCCAGTGCAACCAGTGTCAAGAGAAACAGTCACCAAGATCTTCTGTCCTTCACATGTCCTCAGGGAGTACACACTGCCCACACAGAGTAAAGCCCTGTCTCCAAATAACTGCTTGCTTCAGGAAACACAGGAAAAAGCAAGAGTGTGGGGACTCTACCCCACTGACCAAAGTAAAAGCAAGCCAAAAAGACAAGGTCATTGCTCTGTGTTTTTCCTTCCCATGAGCAATTGGAAAGTGATGCCAAATCCAGGAATATCAGGTGAGGAAGGGAAGGCGGTGTCAACTTCCTTCTGCAAATAGAGAGCTAGGAACAGGGTCTAATGCAGTTACTCCAGCTGAAAGGAAAGTAAAAATCCCCCAGCCTCTTTTAGTGCTGCTTAGATCCCAGACCCTTCATGGGGCTGCTTCATTTGTTCTGGAAGAGCAGGGTAACATCTGCAGATGGGATTCCCATGCACTTGTAACAATCCTACATTAGAGGATGAAATCTACTTTCCAATATGGTAAAAACAGACCAGTTACCTCCTGCCAGGTTCTCAGGTTAAAAATAAAAAAAGGTTGGCATCTCAGCTAAGGTTCACACAGGGCCTTTTAGCCAAAAGTAATTCATTTTTTACCTTCCGCATACTGAAGAATTAAAAAAAAAAAAAAAGAAAGAAAAAAGAAAAGAAAATAGAGCACCTACATACCCTACATACCAAACCTATGCTGGCACAAAGGTACATTCTTTCTGCAGATAAAAGACTGACCAAGCCCCAGGCCTTTCTTCCCTGCACCAGGAATTGCACATTTCTCTGTGACCCCAGCAGCTACTCTGACAGCAGAAATCCCTAGAGCCCAGGTCAGGCACCTTAACTGCTGGGCCACTTTGATTTTATCAAGGCAGAGCAGGAGGACATTGTGGCTAGAGCTCATTGAGATGAGATTTATTAGCTCTCCTTCTGCTGTAGCATCCATCTGCTCTCAGTGACTGGAAATATTAGACTTCCTGCCTTGTGCAGGTACACCACCAGTCCAACCAAGGCCAGAGACAGACATCCAGAAAAGTATTTCAGTGAATCCTCCTTTTCCTGCAGTAGAAAACCTCAGAATAGTAACAACACAAGACATTGCTTCACTACTTTTCATTTGAGGATGTAAGTATCAAAAATCAGCTTCCCTTTGCAATTACCATTCTCCACTCTTCAACCTCCCACTTTACAAAGGATGCATGGCAGAGACAAAGAGAAGGGCATGACTTGCCCTAGGCAGCAGGAAGCCAGAATCAGAAAAGCAAGGATACCAATCCACCAGCACTTGCTTTTTTTGCTTGCAGGACACCATCTTGATAATTTAGGTTTTTTTCTTCCTGTAGGAGCCCCATGAAGGGAGTACCAACAAAAAGAGTAAAAACAAATGAAAATTAGAGGAATTATGCAGCAATTCCCACTTTGCTCCAGACTCTGCATCAGAGTCCTCAACCTATGGTAACTCTAGGCATTGTAGCAATCCAGTTAATCAATGCCATCATTGTCTTGAAAGGCAAGATGCAGGCATTAGTCTTTATACAAGACAACAGACTTCCTTTTCTTTCAGCCCTACACAAAATTTTAAATGGAGTGAGCAAGACAGTGAGGATCCTCAAGAACAGAGCAAGTAAGGAGCAAAGCTGGAAGTGTCCTTCTCCCACCTCATCATCCTCCCAGCTGCAACAGGTAGATAGGACAGAACTTATGAGTGTGAAAGACCTGTCTATTGGTCCTTCCTGGCCAGGCAGGAAATGAGAATACAGCATTTCAGACCTGTTCAAATGGGCAAACCCACTAGTTAAAGCTACAAGTGTTAAAATCCTAAAATTGATCATATTTCCCATGGAAAACACAGCACTGCATTTTCCATCACACAAAAACAACTGGACAGACAATGCCTGAGTTTTCACACTGCCTTCTTAGATAGGAAAAGAAGCAAGGATTCAAATCAGGCACACAAGCAGTTAATGGGATTATCCAGACACAGATCTCAGCAGGACCCAGCAGGCCATGAACACATCGTATCATGCAGAGAACCCCTCTCCCACCACAGGGTTAACACGTGCCAGGCTGTTAGAGTCCAGCAACAGCCTCTCCAGTTTTAGGAACTAAATCAAACACGTATCGAAATGCTGCTCTCCATACCGGTACCTGCTCATCTTTTTCCTCAGCCTGGCGAACAGTTTAGTTTTCTTTCTGTTGAGGATGGCACGCAAATCATTTCAGTTACAGGATGGCACAGTTAAACCAGGAAGCTTCCATGTACCCATTTATGTGGTGCCACAAAACTCATTGTAATTAAGATGACAAGATCTCTTCTCTCTCTCTCTCACACACACACACACACACACACACACTTCCCTTCATTCCTGGAAAGCTATGGCCTGGTTTGGAGAAAGTAGGAGAAGGGATTTTACACCTGTGAAAGATCTATATACATGTAAGTAAACTAGAATTTTCCCTGCACTTTGGAACATGGGGCCATGGAGCATATGGAGAAGAAGGAAAAGGAAACTGTATAGACCACCAAGAGTCCCATAAAAGTCCTTTTTTCACAGCTGCTCACTCTCTGCTGTGAATATTGCTGCAAAAGAAACAAGTTCCCATTCTCCTTTACTTATGTGATCTGCACAGTCTTATACATGGAACTTAATCATCAGCTTTCCTACCATGTTTTTTTCCAGTTTGTACGATCATACTAGGATAACGCTACAGAGCTCCTAGCTCTTTTAGGCATCTGAGCCCTGAATGTTCAAACTCTTTCAGAAACAAATCCCAAACCCATGCCTGAGGTTCCCAGAAATACACCAGCTGCTCTCTGCTACTGTGCTACACTGCCAGCATCAGATTTATCAACCACAGTAGTAGTTCTGTAAAGCCTCACACGAATGTCATAATGATGCGTATAGATAATTGTCTCTCTTCTCACACCTCCTCATTCATTTCCTGCCATTGTATCAATCTCCAATCCCCTTCCCGGTAGAAAAGGGTTAGGGAAGCATCTGCTCCTACTGCAGACCACAATAAGCGATTTCCTCCCACACACTCTCACTCCAGCCTTGTGCCACGACGAGAGGCCAGATGTGCAGCAGAGACAGAAGTGCCTCACAGCGTTTCCTGGTCACTGCAAAACATATTTACTACCTTGGCAAAACTTTGCTACCTCCTCATACAACACCCTGCTCCCCTGCTCTCAGGAGGAAGAGAGTTGCTCTGCGGCAGGTCTGGCACCTCAGCCAAGATGCAGCAAGATGAAGCAGCAGCACTCAGATTCCTCCCCACACAGGGACCCCTGTGCGTGCTCTGTTTCTGGTTGTGGTGCCATGTGGTCTCATAGCCAGACAAAGAGCACAAACTGCAGCTGAGACCTCTATTACAGTCCCAGATGAAGCCAGCAGTTTGTGGGGGTAGGAATCGTGAGGACAGGTAATTTGTTCACTGAAAGCTCTTTCAGGCCAGAAACTTCATGCCATAACAGCAATGAATATCTCTGGGCCAGACTGTCATTGCAGCCTGCAATTAGTTTGTCAAGGAAGAAAGAAAGGAGGAGGAAGGAGCTGGACAAAGCAATGGCTATAGCCTTTATCTGTCCTTTTAACTTATCCCCCTCCAAGGACCCTGGAGGATGTTACTAACAGACACAACGTGGTCCATGGCAGCAAGAGGATGGGCACCACAGCCTCCACACAAGGTTTCAGTCTGGTTGAGTTGGGGTGATCAACAGACACCCCATGCTAACTTGGGAAGAAGACATCATTTTCACAAGTAGCACTCCTACTAGCATTTCTGAAATCTGGTGTCAGCAATCCAAAATTCAAGGGTCAAATTCAACTCAAACTTTCTCTTTCTTTAGAGCTGGCAAACACCGCAGTCACTGGAGGAAGAAGGCACACAAGTCATCTATGCATGACTGCAACAGAAGGTTAAACTGGGAGGAGTGACAAGGGAGCACAGAGGTCTCAACAGCTGATCTACCCCTTCTGAATCAATGCACTCAGACCACAGCTTGCTCTTACTTCATGCTGACTTCACCTCCTCCCTCCATCAGTACACCAGTTGAGGACTTGGGCTGTGCTCCTGCTTGCCCAGCACACAGGATTAGCAGCAGCTGGAAGCCAGAGCCCAACGGTATTTCATCACTCACACACTTGGATGAGAGCCAGTCAGCCTAATCCAGAGCCCAACCTTTCCCTCCCTTCTCAGTGCTAGAGAATGTGCAGACTTGCACTTAACCATACAGGATAGGACCCAGCTGAGGAAAGAGAACTAAAGGCCCAGAGGACACTCAGTCCTTGCATACATGCAGATTGAAAGTGCCCTGAGGTCAGGAGGCCTCATATTAGTGAGGCTGCAACTCCTTCCTCAACACACAGAAAAGGAAATCGTCCACTTCAGCTGGGTACATAGGATGGGCATAAGGCTCTGGCAAAACGGTGATTCCAAGTTTGGAGGACCAAAAAGGAAGCTGGGGAACTAAATGAGCTCTTGGTGCTCAAGCTGTAGGTACATGGCAGAAGCTTTTGAGAGAAAGAACAGGATGGGTGCTGGGCAACTGGACCCAGAAGGAAGGGCAGCTCAGTAGCACATGTCACTGCATGGAATTAGACTTTAAAAAAGCAGAGCTGAGAATCAGTTGTCTACATATCAGCACCTAGTGAAAGTTTAGGCATCCAGATGCTAACCTAGAAAGGTAAGAGGTATTGTATTGTGCCACCCAGCGCTAAGTGCAATTGTGGACATGTTCTAGGAAGTCTCAGGAGGGCACTGGCAGGTAGTGAAATTACTTCCAATTGACAACATGGAAGTTTCAACACCCCTGGGTACAGACATCCCTGTCCCTCCTTCCCTGTTGAGGGAAAGACACCACCCACAGTTACTGACCTGGGCTGTGCTTTAACAGGGAAGGCATTGCCTGAGTACTGCTTGTCTAGACCCAGCAGGACATCATGAAGATTTTGGTTCAACTGCAAAATACAAAAACAAAAGAAAGAAAAGGAATGAGAAAAGAGCACAAGTGCCAGAAGAGAGTCTGGGCTGGCCTGCACAGACTGACCAAACACAGGCTTGTGCCCAGATATGTACACATATTCAGCTATCCCAAGAGGGAACAGCCCTAAATCTGTTTCCACTTCTCTGTGGGGTATGAAAGGCTATTGAACTGTTGAAGAGATGCTGATTCCTCATGGGAATGCTCTGTCTTGCTTGCAGATCATCCTCTTAGCTTCTCTATCACCTGGCCCTGGCAGTGTGCTGCCAGGTGCCACTGCAGAAGCAGGATGAATGTTTATCTAAGGGCCTATGTGCTAGAACTGAAGCTTCACTGTGGATTTGTAGCCAAAAGCTGTTCCTCAGACCTGCTTATCAAAGCTTGGGATATGGCCATCTCAGCTGTGAAGACAAAGGCAACTGAACTTCCAGTCAACAGCTTTAACTTCACAGTCTGCCTGGGCCACCTAGGTTTAGGCAGGACCTAGATATCTTTGCCGAGATTAGGGGTTAAATGCTCCCTGGCACCAAAGGCTGCAAGAGTCACTTCAGACACTCCTACTCTGAAACAGCCAATCCATAAATAAGATGAGACTCCAGATTCATCACTGGTAGGAGGAGGGATCCCATGCAATCAGTGTTGGAGGCATTTTGCAGGCAACACCAGCAGTTAATTGGATGCTGTAGCAATAAAAGGCAACAGATGTTTATTATGGAACAAAGCAAAAGCCCTGCTCTCATACAAAACTCCTCAAGAAAGAAAAATCCGGACTTCATATAAGAGAAGTCCTGTCTAACAAACATCTTTTCCATGTTTTGTTGGATGTAAGTTAACAGTAAGAAATAGATAATTATAAGAATCCTCCCTATTCTTAACATTAGTTCATCTCTCAGTGGAGAAGAGCAGGCTATTAATTGGAAAAGACCCCATAAAATGTCATTGGGGTTCAAAATTGATTCATTACGCCAAGTCAGAAGGGCCCCTGGCTGTTGGGAATTGAAGGACTATAATGTTTCCTGTTGCTTAGCAGCTGCCTTGTTGTCAGGATGACATTGGGGAGTGGAGTGAATATAAGGGTTTTCCAGCTGGGCTCTCAGTCCCTCCTCAAGATTAGTGAAACATTTACAGAGGGTGTGCAACTCCTAAAAGCAGCATACAGACCTAAGGAATTCAGGAGACTTCTCTAGCTTTTAATTGAAAGAACAAGAACATATTTGTAAATTATATTGGCAATGGAGGACTTTCCCACAGACTAGTCCTGAGGTCTCCTCTAGGTACTGGCACAGAGCACCAGGATCCAGCTTGCCACCACCAGCTTACAACACTGCTTACCACTGTGATTCCCAACTCAGGACAAATTGGTAGCCCATATAAGGGCCAGGCTAAGTACTCAAATGCCTTCTTTTGGGTCACAGGGCAGGAAAGAAACCAAAGCAGAGAGGTACTGCAGGGAAGTGCCTTCTTGAGGGACTTTAGTGAGGCAGGTCTCGGTCTTTACCCAACTTGCAGACTGGCAGATTTCCTCCTGTTTTCAACCCCACAGCTAGACTGGATGAGGGTACACAGCAACCTGCTACCAGGCAGCAGAGGAGGAGGAAAATAGATACCATGCTAAGTGTGCCAAGGCTATAGGTTACAGATCCACAATGGAGACAAACTAAAAAAGGTAGCAAGAGATAGGTCTGAGGGTGACTTCCGTCTCCTCTGTGGATCTGCAAACAAGCACTGTCAAGTGACACGCACTTCCCACTGCTGAAGGACCCTGCAGTGTCTTCCCTGTGCTCCATCCCTTTGAATTATTATGTCAGACAGCTCTGTCCAAAATAAAAAACTAAGGATTTATATTTTTCTCTGACTCAGGGCTGTTTTTTCCAGACAGTTTTTTGGTTGTTTTTTTGTTTTGTTTTTGGGGGATTTTTTGGTGGTAGTGGTGGTTGTTTTTTACTAGCAGTAAAGACAGGATAAGTAGGATAAACTGTTAGTTGCCTTACCTTGCTCATTTCTTTATGGAAGTTCTCCTCTAGGCCTGCTATACTCTGGAATGTGTTGACATAGAAACCAACACGACTGCCAAATGAAAAACAAGACAGAAGAACTTAATGGACACAATGCTCTCCCCACACTTTTCAATTCTGCCCCTTCTGCTACGTTCCACCCACCACTCCCACTCAAATCGAACTCTGTCAGGTCTTGGTACACGTGGGAAGAGAGGGGTTGCAGGAGAGTGTGAAGGGAGTAATGGAACAAAGGCTAGGTACAGGGCAAACATGTCCAAGGGGAGAAGAAGACTAGGAATGGGATCTCAATTTGTGTTGGCTAAAGGGAGAGGGGAAAAAAAAAAGGGTGGTAGTATAGGAAGATGGAAAAAGGATGGAGGCTGTGATGCAGACAGAGTATTGGGAAAGCTGAGGGAATTAGCAGGATGACAAATATTAATTCCCTCTGAAGTCCCTAAGCAACAAGGGAAGCAAACAAGCATGAACTGTTTGCTTCAGAGGCAAAAAGAATATGAAAACACAGGATAGACACAGAAAGCAATAGGGAAGCAGAAGCATCAGCTGTGTAGCAGGAGCCTGTGAACTTCCTGTGGCATCTTAAAATCTCAGCAGCTGTCTGTCACCCACTGGCCTCTAGCTAGCCTGCCAGCTGCCAACAGAGAGTGCTCTACCAGCACTCAGCTGAAGGAACAACAGCCAGAGGGAGATGGTCACCAAGGCCAGCAGCATCGTGGTTCTGCACATGGAAACACTCAGACACCTGTATCCCTCCCAGCTCCTTCCTCAGTCAGGCCTGCAGGCTGCTTTGAGGAAGGATACCTACCCTGGGCTGGACAGAAAAGGGAGTGACGCATTTCACTTTCCCACCCTGCTGCTACCCCCTCTCCATCCCCCACAGACCAGCACTGAGAACCCAGACGTGATTGCTGTGTTCAAAACTAAGAAACTGGGACGCTCCCAGGAAGATTTTGATTGGTTTCCGCTGTGTCCTCCCCATAAATCAGTATCTGCTGCCCTACAGTTCATCCTTCAAGCTAAATGTCAGTCTTTTTCTTTCACCTCTGTTTCCATCACCACAGCCACTGGTATGGCAAATTCATGGCCTCTCAAGTTTTCCAGTAAAGTTGGGCAGAGTTGGTAGGGCAAAAGATTAACTGGACAAGGAGAGAAACATAGTTTCTCTCTGTGGTAAAACTGTATTTTTCAGGAAAATCATGAAGCAAAGCCCAGAAAGCACAGGGTGAATCTGGTTGGTAGGAAAATCCTAGGACAAACTGAGATGATCCAGAAAAGAAGAGCACGCACCCAGTCCAGACCAAGAGCTTGGCTATTTGCTTCCTTCCAACCAGGCCTTGGGAAAACTTCCAGCACTCACCTATTCCATAGTGAAGGCAGTTCCTCCTGCAGGTCAACATTCATCTCTTCAAACACCTTCTGAGCCTTTACTAACTCTTCTTCAGCCTTAATAACAGAGAAGGGAGATTGTCAGCTCCAGCACAGACAAGTACACTGCAGGGCTGGGACAACTGTGACTCTTTTGACTTCTTTGGGAGACCGGGCAAAATTCTAGAATGAGGTAATCAGCATCCCAAGTGAGTCTCCCAGGAACCAGGGTTGCATCACAGGTGACCTGATGCCCCTTCATTGTGAATGTGTTACTCTCAGGCTTTCTCTCAATGGATTTCCCCATTTGTATACTCAGAAAGTAATTCAAACAACAACTAATGTGTTTTAAGTTCAATACATTTCCCTGGCTTCAAAAACTGAATGGAGTTGGTCAGGCAGTTCAGCCTCCAGCTTGGATATAGATAGGGGTCCCTGTCCCTTGCCAGGTCTCAAAAGAGTTGAAATCCATCCCAAATGGCATTAAAGAATCCTCCCTCATGTGGACTTTTTATGCTCGGCTAAGGTCATGCCAAAGCCCCGTCTCTTCTGAGGAAGGGAGGAGATCTGCACCCTTGGCTGATACAGCCCTCCTACAAAGCTGACTGGAGAAGCAAGGAAGAGTATGCAAAGCATGAGTTGTGCCAGCAGGAGGCCAGGGTGCAGGGCTTGAACAGCACGCTTCAGTGGTCTCACGTAAGCGCAATCCCTGGCTGGCTGTCAGCCACCAACACCAAAAGCAGTATGAGTCGTACAGGACCTCTTTCTCCCAGCTGAGAGTCTAAATTTGACCTGTTCATTGGACCTGGACACTGACAGATCCCAACACTGATGGATGAATTCTGTCAGGTTTCAGACAAAAAGGACGATCCTCGTTTGTTGCTGACAGCAGACACCAGCAACAAGCACATTCCCCTTCCTACATTTGTCTCAGGTAATCTCTTCCTCTTTTCAGTGCCCTGACTTAAAGTTTTCTAAATAAAACGGTTTTATTCTGTAATGTACAACAGCACAGCATTCTCCCATAACCCTGTGCAGTGGCTTACAGGATGGAAAAATCTCTGCACGAGCAACTTGACAACACATCATATCAGGAAGGTCAACATAAGTGCCTATACAAGCGACAACAGCAGGAATGTCACAACACCACAGGCCTCTGCAAAGAGCTTACAAGTCACAGGAACTGGATCTCCCTCCTACCCTTTCTAGAAATCAAGTTTTATCTTCTTTGTGCCAGCTTAATTAAATAAATTCAGCTTACTGCTCCTTAGTGACGCGTATACACAACAATAGGATTGATGGGCAAAAGGGCTTAAAAATATTTTGCAGTTCAGAATCCTGTTCCTCACAGAATTGTGTAGGATTCTTACACTCTCTGTCTCCTGACTTATAAGCAAGCCACAGAAGCTCCTGCTTTCCATCTAGCTCCAACTGTAAGAGGGTTGTTCATTGCTGCCCGAGGCAAGGCTAAGGCTTTGTACTCAAGATCAGAGGAGAAAGTTTCCCCAGCAAAAAGACACAACTGGGAAGTATTCAAAAGTTAAGTAGACTTTGTGAGGAACAGACAAGGGGAGAAGGGGTCATGATGCTTCCACCCAGAAACCCCTGTTTCGCTGCTACACTCACTGAAAAACTTAACATTTCAAGAGTTTGCACAAAACCACCAAAAAACCTTTTAAACAGAGACACAGTTTATGCTGAATCAGAGATAATGATCATAAAGACTCACTCTGCCTTAAAATACCTCTATGAATGAATATTTCTAATGTAACCATTTTAAAGGGAGAAAAAAAACCCAGTCCATCCCTCTGGCTTTACCTTATTCTAATTTCCAAACTATAATGGAACCAGAATCAACCCAGGAGATGTAGTAGCTGGGAGATGAGGCACCATTGAATGCTGTTAGTTTTATGGATATGATGAAGAGTAATAACATTCTTTCCCTCTCTTGTTTACCCATTTATAAGGTCAAAGAACCTAGAAAGCAATGCATGAATATTGTGACATCCCAAGGCAAAGGCAAAATCAGCAACAGGCAACGTTCACTCTAGAGTAGTTGTAGGAATCAGGAATCCATCCAGTGCCTGTGGCTCAGCTACTGGTCTCATTCCCAAATCTATCATTGAATTAATTCTTCAATCCTTTGTTAGCCCATGGATTTTCTCACCAGTGGGATTTACTTTGCTTAGAAGCAGGAATTCTGGCACTTGACAGCCCTCACTGCTTCCAGCTAGAGCCAAAGTCAGAGATCAACATGGTCACAAAGGCCTGCTAGAGGACAAGCCAGCTCATGCAGCAAGGTGGGGAAAGGCAGACACTGGTTTCAGAGTAGAGCCCACGGCTACCATTGCCGTGCACTTTGTGTTTCAGCTGCCACCCTTGCCAACCTGATGGAAAACTGAGGCCAGGAGACAATGCCCAGGACCACAAAGTATAATTTCAGAAAATCTTTCTCTCCTCTCCCTGCCTGAAAGGAGGAAGGTTTGAGTAGAAGCTGGACAACACAAATGCTTTCCTGACCTTCCACCTAACCAAGGCTCAGAGTGCCAAGCACCAACCAGTTCAGCTGCGATGGAGGGCAGGGGAGGAATTATTCCACACTGTTTCTCCTATTACCATGCATCTCAGCTCTCATGAATATCTGGCTATGTCCAGCCTGGTGCTTTCAGACAATCTGGTGACCATTTCTCTTCAAAGACTATGCTGTGAATTGTGGTAATCAAGTACTCCTAAGTAAATAGTTTAGATATCCCTGAGGCAGGATTAAGGAGGAGAGCTGGGAGCCTCCCCCCAGCCAGACTCAGCTCTCAGCAGGGCAGCACCGCCCAGGACTCAACTTACTGGCTTTCTCCTATAGACAGAGATATGTTTCTGTTATCATTGCAGCACCAAGGATGTTGCTTTTTAGATTCAGCATACCAATGGAGCTTAGTCAAAAGGCAAGAATTTGCTGTTCTAAGCCATTTTCCCCTTTGTTTCAAAAAGCACAGTCACTAAAATTTGTAACTGGGAGTATGCAATAGCAACTCCCCCAGGAGACTTCACAAAAAACCCCACTGTTGTTTTTGTTAGTATCTGCTAAAGGCCTAAAGAGCCAGAGGTATGCACACTGGAGGGAGGGACTTTGCTTTACAGTAGAAATAACAGATCTCACTGACCCCATTTTGCATGGAGGTTATAAAATTATCAGGCAAGAAGAGACAGCAACACAGCTGCTGGTAAAAGGAAATAATTTTTTCTTTTTTTTTTTTTTTAAGGCTTAGCATTCTGAAGCTTCGCAATAAATGGAGTATCATCAGCCCTCCCAGTTTTATCAAGAGCTTAATGAGATTTAGGGCTGTCATTAACACCTTCAGTCTTGAAGTCACACAAATGTAAAAACTGCCTGCTCCTGTAGGGAAGGCAAGCTGGAAAACCTACAGGTTCAGTATACAAGCTAACCTTCTTTATTGAGAGAGTTTTTTGTTCATTTCCAATAAAAATAAAAATTAGAGAAAAAGGAAAAAAAATACACGAGTAGAAACAAAAAATTCAAGTGGGCAATAGTATTACTTAGCTCAAGAATGAAAGGGGAAAAAACTTCAAGGAGGACTTAAATTGATTTGAAAATATCTGTGGTCACTGAAAATATTAAAGCTGTGTATTAGGAGATTAACACCCTCACACCACAGTGGGTGGAAAGATTACACAGCCCCTTGCAAATGCTTTAGGACAAAGTCACATACAGTGAAATCTTCAAATGTTTAAGATCAGAGTGCATGGATGAGGGGGCACTTGAAGGTACTGGGCAATCTGTGGGTAGTAGCATTACTCCCAGTGACCCCAGCCAGTCTGAGAAGACAAAAAATGCCAAAGTGCCGGTTTATTTTTATATTTATTTGTGGCTTGAGAAACTTCCCATACCTGCTTTCTAGTCCTCCTGAAATACCCCACCAGTCAAACAGACCAACCAAGAACCACAACTGTGCAAACAGTTCCCAGCTGGACCAGCAGAGGCATAAGAAAAGCCCCTGGCAGCTTGCCATCTGTCCTTCTCCCTTCAATCAAGAATAAATACATATTTCCTCCCTTTGCTCTACATCTTAAGCAGGGTTGCTAAAGGCTGTTCTTTCTCCATGCTTTACTGATGTGATTATCTAGTTTTTTCCCTGATCTGCAGTCATAAACTGACTGTCAAAAACCCAGGTGCTTCTTAAGGTGAGAGCAATTCAGTGTTTCTAAACTGCAATTCATTCATTGACAAGGAATGTGAAGACATGGGAGCATTCAAATGAGAACAGATGAGCTCACCAGGAACTTGTGAGCAGGTAACTGGCACTCTCCCAGTCTGGGTAATTATTTACTACCTCTTGCTCATTGAAAGCCTCTTCTCACTGACTTCTTCTGTCAACTCCCTCTTATCCCTGAAGGTGTTCCAAGGGAATCACTGAGGGAGATTTCATCAGGAAGTCACACTTCTATGCAACTAGGATTGAAATTTTATTCCCTGTAGTTCCTCTGAGCTGCTCTCATGTCCCTCAAGACACTATAACTTAAATTTTGACAGATGATGCAACCATGACCTCAACTTGGAACTGTTCAAATACATCACAGAGGGTGCAACCTGCCTGGTCTGGGCCCACCTCTTCTCCTATACAGATTGAAACCCTGAATCTGGAAATAGCTCTTTTAAACCCCAAGAGCCAGGACAGTGCCCATTTGGGAAACTTGGACTTTACCACAGGAGGATGTTGCAACCTAACTCAGCAGCCACAGAAACTGTACTGTTTGGGGTTTTTTCCAGTTTTACTGAAAAACATGAACACATAAGTCAATTTTCCAGTGTTTCTTTTTTTTTTTTTTTTTTTGAAACAGCAACAATAAAAATTGACAGCTTCTCTTAGAGGAAAAAGAAAGCAATAATTGGAGGAAGTGTACTGCATCACCCTCTGTCTCAACATTATTCCATAGCCTTTCTTCCTCCACATTTCATTTTAGGAGGAGAAAACAGTAGTCCAGTATTAACACATCTGACTAGAAATCAATTAGGCAGGCACAAATTCATTCACTGGTCAGCAACTTCCATGTATTCCATGTGGCTTAGGAGCATCAAGGACACGTAACACAGAAGACTAGAGTGAACGTTGCCTGGAGATTACTTGCATGGTACAATCTAGAGCCCAAAATAGCGCATGCAGGGTTAGAGCCAGGTAGATCAGCAGTCACCTGATTTCGGAGCAGATTAGTTTGTGCAACGAGGTGAGCTTGTAGCTTCCCTTGACACCACTGAGGCGCAGCTTTCTCAAGCAGCGAAACAGGCTGGGGGGAGGGAGCATGTTTGAGTGAAAAAAGAAAAAAAAATAAACAGAGAACAAGAGAGACACAAACATATATCTTTTAGGATAAAAAAAATTAAAATCACAACAGAGAGCGTATTTAGAGGCTGGGCCAAATCAGTATCACCAAAGCGAGAGAAAAAAAGCAAACATCCTGGGACCGATCAGTTATGAATCCTTTGAAGCATGCCAAGTTTAGCAGTAATTAATGCTCCCGTGTGGGCTGGATACTGCAGACCAGCCAGGCAGCTGTAAGAGCAACAAATACAGTTGTTAGTGACCTAGCACACCGACAACTCTACTCCACGGCATGGCTGTGAAGTTGGAGCTCCTTAAAGAGAGGTCAGGATTAATTAACCATCATTATTATTTGCATGCAACAGCTGGAAGTCCACAGTGCTTTATTTAAATGGCAGGATGTAAGTTTAGCAATAAGACACAGGGGTCCTGGGTGAGAAAAGAACATCCATATATTAGAAAAGAGAGACCATACAGTGCCAAAAAATATTCGTATTGCTGTTTCTGTTACTATACCATTGAACCTCAATCAAGTTAGTTCCCACTTGTATGCTGTGCCTCTTTCCTAGGGGCCTGTCATCATATTCCAAAGTAACTTATAATGAAAAAACCCTACCTTAAAGGTAATACAAGCAAAACTGCAGACACAGGAACAGAGGTGAATTACGTACACCAGCCAAGTGCACGCTTAGCCATGGCTGTTGCCCACAGCCCCACAGAGCTGCATGACCACAAATGTCAGACCACAGGTGGGATTGTGAAAACTGCCCACTTGGGAAGACCATACAAACATAACTTTCTGGGACTAAGTGCTCCCATCTTTGCAGGATCAGGACAGTGCAACGTGTCACATATTATCCTGTGCATAAGCTTATGGCCTAGAGCACAGATAGTGGAAAAATCTGATCCAGTGCACATTTTGGCTCACAAGAAGAATCCAATCAAGTACTAAGAGACTCTTGCACAAGATGAATCAGGAACAGAGCACCAACTCCTAAATCTCAAGAACTTCACTCTTCAAACTGCACTTTCTTTCATACTTGTTATATCATCTTAGGTGAGTTTTGGGGCTACAGCGAGTGCAGCAATGATGAAGGGAGCCAGCCTCTGGTGCAGAGCACCAGGTACAAACCCGAGCAATTCCTACAAAACCCATTCCCACTGCAGCAAAGACCACACAGACATGCACCAATAAAAATAACACACCCCATGGAAAGTCTGCTCTTACCCACAAACACAGTGAATTACTGCTTTGAACTGAAGGCTTTGAACTAGCTGAGCCTCATGCCTTGCATACAGAACCAAGACTTGCTTTGCCACACAAATGATACGATGACACCTGGGCCATCAATCTCTCTCCCCTTTTGTCTGTCAAGGTTAGTCACAGTGCATGCACTGGGCGTGTAGAGGACTGAAGAATTTCAGCTTAACAATCAAAGTATTGTGGCCATTAAAAGCACATCTTTCACTTCAGGGAGAGATGCATCTTAATTTCTTCCATGCAGGAAAAACACCAGCACCTCTCACATAAGCCCATATTCCCTCTACCAGAAATAGCCCTAACCAAAGGATGACAACTCTTGTCATCCTGTAAAAGACACCAATCTTTCCTGCACTGCTCCTACTCTGAAGAGTCCCAGTGAGCCATGGCCCACACTGAAGAGAATTAAAGATGTTGGTCCAGCACTGGACTATTCCATTGTGTCAAAAACTGTCCTGTGGAGTGAAGTATCTTGGTTCACATATCTTGGGGTAGAAGAATAATCCACAGCTCATTTTCTGGGCAGTACTCAAACCATGCGCCTACTCTAGAACAAAGTTAGCACTACCGTTTTTTTCAGCTGCAATAAAAAAAAATGTAAACTTTTTTTAGTTAAAATAAATTTCATTAAAAATAAAATCCTTCACTCGAGTGTTGGATATGCTCTGCAGTAAACCCTGGATCTAGCTATTCACAGGCATGAAAGAAACGTGACAGCCATATTTATTATCCAGTAATTGTGACCAACAGACAACAGAACACATTCATCAAGTGCGCACAGAGTGCACTTCTATCAATGAACTTGTAATTCTAAGGGTCTCTGTCCTAGGATATCAGAGGACTTCACAAACACAACCCACCTCAAGCAATACTCAAACACTACTCTAAGATGGAAGGAGTCCCAAGAAGCAGGTAAACTGGAAAATTTTTCAGGGGCCATTGCAAGGTTTTGCTTCCCCAAGAGACACACAGGCTTTTGAGCCAGAGGTTACTGGTCCTGTAGCATGGGAGTAAGCACATGCATTTAGTCACCAAGAGATGCAGACTGATGATGATGGGTCTGAACCAAGTCAGCAGAGGCTACCCTGTCTTCTAGGAGAGCTAAACAAATAAGAAGGAAATAACCTAGCAAAACCTGACCAGTTCGTAACACTGCAATGATCTTACACGTCCTTTCCAATGTAATTGATTCGATGAAAACGCAGTGAAGAGGTACAGGTGCCCTTAAAAGCTGCTCAGTAGGCAAAAGCAAAATGATAGGATGGCTGCATATGCTCCTATTTGCTTTACCTTTGCGATTTTGGTTTCATCCTTCTTCTTTGCAGTTTGCAGGGCTTCAAAGTGGTGTCTGGCACTGTCATAATCCACCAGCTTCCTTCCTCGCTTCGCTATACGAGACTGAAAAAGAAGGAGAAAAGATTCATGCCAATCTTCTCCAGCAGCCAAAACTGCAAAACCTCTCAGGAAAACAACCCTCCTCTCCACCCTACTCCCAGAGCACCCCATGCTGTGCCCTCACAAGGACACTCACTGGATCCTCCATAGGGGCTGCCCAGAGAAGTGGCCATGGCAGCCACCTGTGACAACCACCACTCTAAAGGGAGCTCCTCAGGAGGCAAGTAGACAAAGCCAGGGAAGGTAAAGGGATCCAACTAACAGGCCCCACACCTGGCTGATGATAATGTTTTCAGAACTGTAGCTTCACTGCTTCCTAAGCCCCATTGCTTCATCATTTTCAGGGCTTCCTGAGGGATGCAGCCAGCCTCTAACTGGTTCACTATTTTGTGTGGAAGTTTACAAGTTTAAGTTCAACAAAAGAAGGCATTTCCATTGTGAGCTCAGGATAGACAGGCAGACCTTTGGCCTGATCCTCCCTTACCCTTCATCATCTGAGGTGCCTCAAGCTCTCTTCCCCAGCAGAGATGCACTATTTTGAGGCTCTGACCCACTGGGCTGCCCTGTTTTAGGAATTATCCATCCCCTCAGACCCTTGCCTCCCACATTGTTTGCAAACACCCCAAACTATCTGGGTTGGAGCACAGGTCTTCCCAGTCTGACCCTAACCCCCAGCAGCTCAGAGAGCCTGGACAAGCGTCCGTGATCCACAGTCCAGAGACAGGCTGGAGAACAGAGTGAAAAGGCATGGCAAAGAGCCAGGAAGGCTTCTAATTAACCACATCACCCAAGGACAAAGAAAGTGCAGAATGAGGAATCAGCATTGGGATTTACTTGCAAAAGCAGAATCTCCCTCTTTACTGCACTTGGCAGGGAGGTAGGATTTCATCTCCCCAGGCTCCTGCAGATAAGCTGCAAAACTGCACTCAGGGCTGATCTCTCTGCCAGACCAGCTGGGACCAGTTTGCACGTCTCCCACACACGCTCCTATGAAATTCCAGCAAACGCCAGTGCAGCTCTGAGTGAGTCACAACGGATCTGCAGGATCTCAGCCACACGCACACCCAAACTGATTTCTAAATGTTCAGCTAAATCACGAAGCAGCTGAGCCACCCCACAGCTGAGGTCACTATAAGACACCTCCCAGACATCATGTTGCCAGCCAGGAGACAAGGTATTGCGGGGGTCTTCCAGCAGAATGACAATCTCTGAGGTGTTAGCTAGTTAATGTATCTTGCAAACATACCAGATAAAATGCGTGGCCGGATCTGGAATTTGAGGGATGATTATTTCCCCCATGTCAGACTGGTAGAGATAGCTGGAGTTTTCCCCACCTCTGACAGAGCAAACAGCCACTTCCAGGTTTTCCTGCTACCCCACCAGGGAGTTTGATTCAACGTCACTCATCTCTCAAACAAGGTCACTCCTCCCTGTTTTTGCAGCTCCCAATCTTCTAAAACCCACCCTCGTATTTCCAGTAGAGTACATGGAAATGCTGCAAAGTATGAATACAGTGTGTGTGAGCCCTCCCAGAGTAACCACTGTCCACACCATTGCCTGAAGGCAGTGACAGGATTTATCCCAGCCCTGGAAGGCTACAGGAATTCCTTGTACAGCTCTAGGACAACTGAAGGTACCCACCATTAACTGCATGTAATAGCTGAACTCCAACAGAGTTTACTACCTTGCAACAAATCCATCTTAATTTGAGCCTCCTTAAAGAAAATTAAAAAAGAGAGAAAAAAAGAGAAAGAAAAATCCAAACCACACCCTCCTTTACCAATATTTCATTTTAAACCTAGTAGGATACCAGTTTCAGTGCAAGACAGAAAATCACCAACTCCACAGCTATTCAGAACTTGGGTTATAGTTTATCTTTCCTGGGCTCACTACAGAGACCTATACTCTTATTGCACATCCTACAAAATCAACCAAAAACTCACTCAGAAATATTAAAGATTACGCAAGAGTCTTACTCCAAGAAGTACAGACAGTGACTTCTAAAAAAAGAATAAAGTACGTTTTGCATTCCCATTTGCCAGTTTAGAGAAAATAGATAGGCTTTGTTCAGGAGTGAACAACCAACATTGGACAAATTATTCCCTTTAACATAAAAAAAATCCCTTACTAAAGGAATACTGTGTTTTCACATTCCTGCCATGGATCCCTTTGCAAGTCCAAAAAATTCAAGGGAATTTTTCCAACCCTTCAAGTGAAGACAAATTCAGAATAAGTTAGAATTTAACAAAAATTAATGCATGCATGATCTAACCCATAACACATTTTAAAATAATAAAAAACAGGCCTTCACGCAACTAAAATAAAATCATCTTCTCTCCAAAAATCATCTTTTGTTATCACAGTAATGCCAGAATTCCAGGAAAAGCAGAAAATTTTACTTTGTGGAAAACAAAAACCAGAAAACTATTACAACAACAACAAAAAGAAACTCAAATATTCTGTAAACTACATAAGACTGGGGTTTTTTTGCTGCCAACCTCAAGAACTTTAATTCCTTCTGTGAAGCCAAACTACACATCCGTGTAAGTGTAGCAACCTTCAAAACCTGCATTTCTAGGAGTTTCTAACTGTTGAAGAAAATATACTTGATATGAACACTTCTCACTGCTCTGGGGTAAGGAACATGATGCATCCAGCTGAATGACCAATAAAAACACACTGACCTTTTTAAATTCATACCACTGGAAGTCTGTTTGAAAGAAATAGCCAACTTTTGTGAAATATGTCCATATCTTATTGTAAGAACCAGCATAAAGCCAAGTTCTCACTCATTTTAGGAAGGGAAGCAGAGGTGAGTAGGGCTCTCTTTAAAACATTACTCGAGTTGTGCATAAAGTTGCTTTTATGCAATAATATAACATTTTCTGTTTCTAGAGCATCATCTGAAGATGGAGAAAGAATATCAGTAATCAACACCTTAGTGGCCCATGCAGAAGTCACAAAGTATCCATGGAAATTCCGTACCTAACACCTTGTGTTTTGGTGGAATTTGGATGGTCCCAAATCTTGTGTTCCTTTTAAAATCCCACTGTAAAACCTCAGCAGGACCACATCAGATTTAAGAAATGATGAAGATACTCAACATGGGGAAAATGACACTATGAGGTGACCCAGTGCAAAGACAACGAGGCTGATAAAATGTGATTTAGACCAAAACAGTGCCAAAGTCTGAGCCTACAGCAAGCCCAAAATAAACCCTCCTGCTGAAGAAGCAGCACACAAGGCTCTGCAGTGCTAACTGAGGCACATGGCATCACCCTACATGGAGTGATCAGCTCTACAGCCTGCAGTGGGTGGAAAGCAGCAGAAAGCCTCTTCACCCTTCCCCACTTCAGACTTCCAGGGGCATAGAAGGCTGGAAAATGAAGCAAAACCAAGGAGTCCCAGGAGACAAGGACACTGCTGTTCAGGGCTCATTTTACGAGCCTGTGACCTGCCCCTCTTTGACACAGCACAATCCTCCTGAAGCAACAAATATTGACAAAAGTTTTAGGAGACACGTGTTGGGAAAGGGTTGTTTTCACTGGAAAGTATCCAAGCTGATACTTCCATATGGTGATATCATTATTAGTGCTTCCATATGGTGAAGACATTTCCTGCACAACCCTCAAAACGAATGGAGAGATAACTGTGGGGGAAGGGGAGGTCACAGGACTTCATTCAAATCCAGGTCCTTGGATACAATCTCTTCCAAAAAGATATCCAGTGCTCCCCTTTCCCTGAAAAAAAGCTGTTTATACACACAGTAGGACTTCAAGGACTCACAGAAATCTGCCTTCCACACCAGCCTCTACTTGTAAAGTACATTTGCCACTAACTTCTTCCTCAATGTTTTTGTGCTTACAAGGAAGTTAAAAGACAAAAGGACTAAAAAGAAACACTGAACTTCTGAGCTATTGCTGACACTGCCCCCCTGCATTCTGATGCAATAAGGAATTTTATGGATCCTCCTGTTTCACACTCATGTTTTCTCCCAGCATCTTGCCCCTGGATACTTCACTCTCATTTTAAGCCCAAAAGTAGAACAAAACATTTTCACATAACCCAGAGCTGCAAGCATCTTGGCTGCTCTCAAAGAAGACCTTGGAGCAGCATAGCACACACATCCTCCTAAAGAAGATGGGGATGTAAGAGATTGATCTTTCGAGGTTTTATCTGCTGTTACTTTCTAGATGAAAAGGTTTAAAAAGAATCTTACTTTAATATCTGGAAATTGGCCAAGGTAGGTATCCATGGTCAGAAGTGCTTGATCCACCAGCTTCTGATGGAAATCTGTCCATAGGAGATCATTGTTCTGAAAAACAAAAGTAATGAATTAACTATTAAGAACACAAGGCTCCACATTTCTATCTTTTTCTCTGTGACTGTTACAGTCAACAATCTCAGTCCCCCAGAGCTCTTAAGAAATAACAATTTCTTTGAAAAACTAAGGAGCAGAGAAGTTAGGTGAAAACAGAGATCTTGGCAGAAATGTAGAAAGTCTGATGCTGTTAATTCAGGTGACCTCTCCAAGAACAGTATCTTTGAAGACCTGTCTTTCCCCCTGGAGTGTTAGATCAAGTCCTTACAATGGAAGGGAAGATGAATGTCAGGCTTCTCCCTGAAGCCACAGAAAAGGGACACCTGACACCTCGAGACAATATTTTCTGCTTTTCACTAAAAAACAGCTTTCTGGAGGATCATGAACAATAACAGCAGTCTTCAACTCTCACATCACCTGCATCCACAGCCCAACAGAAGTCACAGACAAGACTTGTACCTGAACTATGCACATTTTATCCTTGACCTGCTCAGGCACAGTAATTTCCAATCAACACTTCAAATTAGGTGCAAATCACTCCTCTCTCCTGTTTTTCCACTTGAACAATGGGTTTTGGCTAAAACATTCAGGAAAAATTAGCACTTTATGGTTTTTATTTGGCAGGAATAACACTTCTCTCTCACCTATCTTTTCACAAGAGGAATATAAACAAGGCATTAAAGGGGGAGGTGGAGGGTTGGAAATATTCCTGCAGGCTCAAAGAGTAGCTAAACTGAGTTTTCAGGACTCCTGCTCCCTTTGACCTCTCTGGCTCCAATTTTCTGAAGGGTCAGTCTCCCAGGAGGCACCACAGCAGCTCAGGAAGAAACAAGGCCAACAGAGAATGTGAAGCCAAACCAGCTGAAATACCACTCCACTTTTTACTGCAACAGCACTTCCTAATGCAAAGTTTCCATACTAATGCAAGAATTGACCTGGAAATGTTGTGTTTGATTTATCTGCTTTGAAGTCATTATTTCCTGTGCAAGATGCAGTTGTTATTTCAGGTGAGACTTTCTGCAGGGGAAAGAAGGGGAAGGAAAGAATCCTTCTCTTGCTCTCCTGTCTATTCCTTTACCCCTGTTCCAATGCCACAGGCAGCTGCAAATAAGCCCAATCTTGCAGCTTCATGGCAAATGGATCCACACAGCTGTTGCTTAGCAGAACAGCTGAGCAAGACAGCAGAGAGTTCCTACCTCCAGCTGGACCCACCACATGCACATGCCAAGGGGGATCCAAGCTTTCAAATGTCAGGCTGTGCCCTAAGCTCCACAGAAAACACCTGAGCAAGTTGGAAGAGCATCACCTCACCAAGGGATGAGAAGAACAGCAGGCTGGGGTGACACATGGCTCAGCCAAACAAGGCAGCAACTGAAATAAGGCAGCTGATGGTACTGCCATGAGTGAGAGGTTGTTGCAGCTACACAATGGCTGCTCTGACCATGCTTTGGCCACAGATTTATCTTCTCCTTTCTCTTGCAGAGAGAATAAGCAATATATCCAGTTAACTCTATTTACTCTTCTGGCATCCTCTGTCCCTGTTTAGCCACTTTCAGCAGAACAAACAGCTTGTGGGAATAAGAACACCACTCTGTGTAGCATAAAAGCATCTGGGACAGTGTCTTACACAGGCAAAAATACAGGCCATATCCTTTCAGCCTTCCTTTCTTTCCAATGCTGAGTCTATCTCCAATTCTTCTGCAGTCACATGCCTGAAGAAAGGTGGTGCACAGACATAGCTTTCAAAACTCATGTCTGCTGACAGAGCAAGTTTGGACATCCCCACATCCTGGACAAAGTCTTACCTCTGCTATTTTATTTGTGTCATCTCTTCCAGGCCAATCTGGTTCATAAACTTCCTGCAAACACTCTGTCAGTTTCTTGGAGGCCTCATGCATAGCTAGGAAAGAAGAGGAAACTGTTCACAGAAAGAAGAAAAGTGTATGTTCCTTACAGTTTAATCCTCGCCCTGAGGAATGGAGACACAGGAGACTTACTAAGTGTCTGACCCTTTATAACACAGAGATGGAAGGTAACCAGAAGGAAAAAGGAATGAAGGATGCAGTTGCATCAAACCCTTTGTGTTCATCCTCCCCTAGCAGAACATAAAGTCTATCGACTAAGACAGCACCACATTTGGCATCAAAGCACAACCCCATTTCTTCCCAGCTGGTCCTGAAGGATTCAGAAAGATCCATCCCCAGACAAGGCTGACCTTTCCTACAACTCACACCTGAGGAACACCAGGAAGGGGATGGCTGCAGAAACCTCACTGTGTAGGTAAGCACTAGAGGGTAAACAATCCTCTGCTTATGCAGACCTTACCTTTCACGGAGGCCAAGTAAGTTCGAAGGTCCTTCTGCAGCCTCGTGCCTTCGGACTGTGAACGTAAGGAGAAGATCATCAGTTATTCTCTCATATAAAGACAGTGTAAGAAATAGAAGGAGTCAAGTATTTCTAATTAAAGAAAACTGTTCTTGCAGATGGGCTACCCCCAGTCCTATGATCACATGAAACACAAACGTTAACAGGAAGACCACACAGCCCTCTGATTTGGCAAGCTCCCAACCAGAGGCTTGCAGACATGTTTGGCCAACAATACCACCAAGGTACTGAGCAACCTCATGTGGGCAAATCTATTCTTTCCAGCAGAGCCAGCTTTAATGTCTTGGTTTCACACAGACAACTAGAAAGGGTCCTGAGGGCAACAATTAGTTTATACGCCAAGGGCTAGTGAGTCCACACAACAAAAGGAACAGAAGGGAGTCTGCAGGATACAGAAGACAGATGCAATTGATTTAATCTGTAATGGCTTTGAAGCAGTTTAGCTCACTACTTTTTCCTGCCACACTGAAAAGCAAAACCCAGTGCAAAGTGGTTACAAAGGACCTGTGACCTGCCCAAACATCACGTCTGATTTGTTCTGTGCAGCAGGACTTGCAAATACAGAGTTAATCATCTTTAGCTTTACTGTGGACGTGGCCTGCCAGCAGCAGATCTCACGTACTGGAAAACAAAGGATTAAAACCAGAAACCAGGCTGAGTTTTAACAGTTTGTGCCTTCAGATGACAGAGTTGAGTGTAGCACAAGAACTCAGATTAGAAAGGGTCACAGAAACTTTTACAGCAAATTGATTCAGGCACGCACAGCCACATGAAGTCCTTATACAACTGCAGTCCTGCACTAGGATAAACATAGTCAATCATGTCCCCTCTACCTTGCCATATGTCATCAGCAGTGGTGCAAAGAAGAGAGGGAAATACTCCCAAACCTAGACAGTGACATTATAGACAGAAATTAAGAGAAAAGCAAGGCTTGAAAAGTTGACTAATACCACCACAGAGCATGTCAGTAAGGGAAGGAGTAAACATTGAAGACACCTGTGTAGGCAACCTATGGACTATGCAAGAAGTAGAGAAAAGAGAGACAAAGATCTCTGTTATAAAAGGGTTTCTCTTAAGCTGTGGGATCTCACTGGATCCTCACTATCCCCCAAAATTATCTGTAAAAACAAGAATGCAGGAAAGCAACTCCCCCCCCCCCACCTCAGAGCCTGCTGTCTTCTCCTCCCCAGTTCATGTCCCATTTGGAGGGCCCCCAGCATAATGAATTTTGACAGCTGAAGACAACTCCAGAGATGGGGAGCTCACAGGACATCTCCAACAGCTGCCTCAGAGCTACCGTCTCCAAGAGCAGATGTTTCCCATCAGCCCTCCCCACCACTCAGGCACCTCTTGTCTCAGCTGAGCTCATGCTGTGATCCTTTGTGCTCTCAGTGCAGCTGCACTCTCTAAGCAGAGGCTAAATCTGCCCAGCTGTTGAAGTGGCAGTGATAGCACAGCTTTGTGTCTCTCATCCATCTGCTTCCAACAGCATGGCCCAATTTGTTTTCCATGCCTCGAAAGTTCTGGACAAGTTCACAATTGTTCTTTTCCTACTGCCATCAACAAAGGAAATGAGGGATGAGAAAGAGCTGGCCAGTTTTACAAATTAAAGTCTCCTAATCTGGAGAAGTAATGGGAACTGACACAAAGGGGGTACAAGAGGAGAGGAATTATGACCACATCTGCTGCAAAACTCCTAGAAGCTCTTACAACACAGAGCAAATAAATGTTGAGCTGTTTGCTGAATTAAGGTGAATGTGGAAACCTGGGCACATCAAGACTTTCCAAATAATGCAATCAGAAACCACCAAGAGGTCCCAGAGTAATAAAAGAGCACACATACAGAGGGCCATCAAGGAGGCCAAGCTGAGCAGTAGCAGTTTAATCAAGCTGTAACAGATGTTTGCTTGTTCCCAGTGCAGGAAGCAGGAAAGTCTTGAGGAAAGCAGTGCTGTCTGCCTAGAATTGGTTCATGCTAGAAATCACAGACTGGAACTGGCAAGATATGTCAGAACGCAAGAAAAAATGTCACAGAAGAAAGTATGCAAAGTCCCTCCAATGGATACATTATCATCCTGTAGCTGTATCATTTTTAAGAATGACTAAATTTGAACACACAACTTTGAGGTTATCAGAAACTAATCAGCAGGGAAGATCCTCTGCAGAACTTGCCTACTACACACTCAGGCACTGTGATGCCTAAAGCTGTAACATTCAAAATTACAACATCTGAAAACAGAAGCCACCTCTAAAATTGTGTCCATACTTGCTCAAGTCCTTCCACAGCAGCAAATGACACAAGCCAAACCCAGAACCCTTCCAATCTAGATATCCAGTTCCAAAGCCACAGGGGCAGCAGTATCCTCTGCGTGGAAAACCAGCATCACATTTAAATGTCAAATCCTGATTTTTAGATAGATTATCTAAAAAATCTACAAATCAGGGCCTGAAAACTGGAGCATGCAATTGCAGCAATGCACAACTAGCCTTATGTGTTCTCCAGGCATCCTCAACACCACTTGTCCTGCCACAGTGTACAGTCAGCCAGCAATGCTGCATTCTGCAACTGCAGTGGTCTTTGTCAGTCACCTCTTGCTGATGTTTAAAGTCAGAGTTACAGCTGATCTCTGTGGCTGTGGGGTTAGCTAAGTCTCTTAAAGGTACTAAGCCTGCCAGCTGAGAGTGAGCAGACTTTACAGCCTGTAGGATCTGCAAGCAGAGGGCTTTCCAAAGAGAAACCCATATTCAGAGCTTTGCCCTGAATACTGTTTTCCCAGCTCCCCTGAGCACCCGTGGTTCCTGTCCAGTTCCCTCTTTGGCATTTCCATTGATTTATTTCTCGTACACCAGTAAAGTATCTTCCTCTCTACAAAGACTTTTTAAAAATTATTTTAAGCATTAATGCTTTCCCACAAAACTTTGGGGAAACTTTAGAAACACTGTTTTTTCTCCATGTATGCAGCACCTGTTTCTTCAAGTAGCCTATAGTGAGCTGTCCAGTACTGCCACAATTCTGCATAAACCATAGAATCACTAAGGCTAGGAAAGACCTCCATGATCATCAAGTCCAAACTTTGACTGAATACCACCATGCCCACTAAACTAGTGCCGTGTCTACTTGTTTTCTGAATACTTCCAGGCATTGCTTCTCTGGGAAGCCTGTTCCAATGCTTTCTCCAAAATACCTCTTGCAATGCAGTTAGACACTGAACAGAAACTTTCAACACTCTTGAGTGCACATTTGAGAGATGCTTCTTAAACTGAGAGGTAAAGAAGTTGGGAAAATTATCAAACTGGAATCAGAAAAATTAATCCACTTCCCAGTTATCAAAGAGTTTAAGAGTGTGCAGAGGGAAGTTACAGAGGTATGGCTCAATCTGAAGACGTTCAAACACATAAGCGTCATCTTGTTTGAGCATATATTGCCATACTTGCAATCACAGCGTAATTCAACCCTATCAGCCTATAACACAACGACATTCAGTATAATATGAATGTACAAAAAGATGGATATCTTAAAATAGAAGTGCTATGCTTTGATGGCTGGAAGACCTCTCTCTCTCTCCAAGGACTTAATGAGCCACCTATTACTTAAAGCTCTATGAAAGAAAAACACAATTGTTGTTTGGTATCTTTTTGTGCTTTCTTGTTTTGTTGGGGGTGTTGTTATTTGCAATGCCTCTACCAAGCCCTAAGTATATGATTTTCTGTAGAGCTGTTTCGTGGTAGTAGATAGGTTGCCTAAAACTCTCTCTCTTCAATCTCCACAAGAAATTATTTCATCCTAATATTATTAGCCTGCATGCCCTTTACATTAAATTCCTCTGGTTTCGCAGTTCCAATAGGAAGGATTTTTAACAGCATCAGGAGGGATGTTCAATACCTGAGAGGGGAAGGAGGTGATGACTGGTTCCAGTTTACAATAATGTAGAGCTGGAAGAGTAGACTGTAATCACAGGGAGGGGAGTGAGGGGAAGCACTGAAACAACAGCTCCAGATAAGCCCCCACTCAGCAAACTTTAGAACTGCTAAGACACAAAACATGAACAACTGGTGTGAAGCTCCACCCCAGCGTAGCAGACAATCTGTTAAGCTTGTTTTGCCACATAGGGCTGAAATGGAAACTGCTGGGCAAGAAGTGTTCTTGTCTGGAAACAAAACCTCTCTCTAAGCTACTGGCTCTAATGGGAACCCACGCCACTAGAGTGAAGATTCAGTCCACACTGCAGGCCCTGCAGGCTCTGTGACAACCACAGTGTAGTATAGGCAGAGATGGATGCAGCCTATGCCAGCAGCAGCTTGCCTCTCGTGTGTTTGGTGTGAAACACTGTAAACCAATCCAGAACTTCCACACCAGTGACAGCTCATGAAGGGTATAAAAACCCAGCTCCATCACGCAGAAACACACCACAGTGCCAGGTGTAAGGGCTGCCACCAGCCCAGCACTCTCTGTCTCTCCAGTGAGTATTTCAGTTCAGGGCAAGAGAAGCTAAAGCGTGGCATGCCTTGGGCAGTTTCACCTTTACAATAGGCCTCTTACTCCCAGGTTTGTAAGAATAATATCCAGGATAGATCCTTGTGCTGGTGCCTGAACACAGGTGACATTGGGAAAGGGAGGGAGGGAGGAGCCTTCAAACAGACTTCTGGCATGGTTAATTGTCAAAAAGATAATCTAGTGTGAGGGATTAATATGAGAGGCTGTTCTGCTGCTTGTCAAGCCTTCAAGAGATGTGGGCAAGCCCTGCAGCTGCATGGTTATGTCCAGATCATTTAGCACAAAACAAATCCATCTGTCTGAGCTAAAAAGCTCCTACCATTCAGAGACCTCAGAGTGGTACTCTTATATGAACCTGATGGACAGAGAGCGGGCAACTGCAATGTTCTCCCTTATATCCACTGAATTACTATTTAAGAGAGCCACAAGATGCCTTGGTTAAAAATGCATATGTGATTTTTAGACCTGCACTCCATTCATTGACAGCCCACACAAGGAACATGTGTCAAAGTGTCACAAAACAGTCATTAGAGCCAGAGAAGCCTCTAATCAACCACTGAACACAGCCACTGTCTGGTCACACCCCAGCCAATTCCATAGAAGAGCAGAGATGTTCTGTCACCAGCCTGCAGCAAAAGACCAGCTTTCCTCCAGACTTACATTTCCCACTAGAATAGACTTTAATGAAAGGCTATAGAAATCTCATGGATAACTTACACTACACACACTTCTCATACACATAAAAATAAAAACAGGTGTGTATCTATGCATACATAGTTGAATTTTTTTCCCTAATCCGCTTAGCACGATAACTTCTCCGCCCTGCATATCCTAACAATCCAGCTGAGTCACATTTATGGACTGCCCTGTAAAAAAAAGCATTGTTTACATTTATTTTAGTAATAAGGAAACTGAGGGCCAAAGCAAAATTAACAGATCCCAACAGCAAATGCAGAGCAGCCTTCAGCTTTTCTGATAAATTATTTGGGGAATTTAGTTCATGGTCTGCCCCTGCAAGATGGGAAAAGAAATTCAGATGTAAGGGCTACAAGACAGTGCTCCTTTAACAGGCTTCTCAGTGCACCACTGGAACTCATGGCTTTGGAAATTGAAAAACCATCCCAGGCAGTCACATCTTAAAGTTTAGATTTGAGGGGTTTGGTATTTCTCCTTTCAAAAGGTTATTTCCTTATTGCTGATACTTAAGAATGATAAAAGAAAAAGTCACACCTGATAATCTCATGTTGTCAGAAAGAAGCCAAAATATATTCCACTGCGTACAAGAGAATATCATTGCTGGACAAGCTATAGACATGTTGCATGAACTCCTGGAGCAACAGCTACTATTGCTGCCAAGAGAATGAGCATTAGTCTCCAGGAATCTGCAGTCAGCTCTGGTTAGACATAAGTTAAAGTCAGACTGAAGGATTTTCATGATATTCAGCTGTGGCAAATCTCTTCTCAGCTGGTTTTGTGACACATAACCACATCTGTTGAGTCTGAACAGACACAATGCAGCTGTCACTAACAGCTTCAGAGAAAGGTCCTAAATGTGTCAGGGCACAAAGAGGGTAAAAGATTTTTTCAGCACCACCTGAGCTATGGTGTGGCACACATTTTCTGCAGTGAAACAGAAGTAATAGTTTCCCTAACAGCAAGGACCAGGGTGCAAACCCCCCAATGTAACTGGTGTTTTCCCCTCCTCTAAGTGGCTGAAGGCTCTAGATAAAAAAATTAATAAAAACCAAAACAAAACACACCCAGTTGAAGATAGAAACCTACTGCTGTTGAAGTAGGAGGGTGGGGGGAAATTGCTACACTGTTAAAATATTTCTGTGTACTAAAATATAGGGATGAGGCAGACACGTGGAAGACTAATGACTCAGGCCTGACATAGTGATTGTGCAAGTATGGACAGGAAGTCAGATTTAGGTCTTAGCCATGAAAAGATCTTCCCTTTTCACCACTGGCTTTCTTTGTCTCTTCTGCTCTTCACTTAGGAAACTGAAACTGCCTTGTTCCATTTAATTTTTTTTTCCTGTTTCCCATCCTATCCATCTTTCAGAGACACAATGTTGCTCTAATATCTCTGCTTCCAACCAAGCAGGAAAAATCACATTTCAGAGCAATTGCTAACTGAAGGAAGCGTTCTGGTTGAGCTATTTCTTTTCTAAACTTGGATCTAGAACAAGTATTATTTTTCAGCTTACACTCTCACTGACTCCACTGGAAGTCACTGTGTAATTTCTCATAAGTGAACAGCTATGAGTTGTGGGTCACTTCAGTAGGCTTATGTCATCATTTAATTTAATGGGCTTGAATTGCATATTGCAGCAGATGACTGGAAGCTAATACTGAAACCTAGGGTGTAATTACACATCACCAATTATCTTACCAGCTGTTTGTTGAAGTTCTGCACACACTGTTCAAACTGTTCATCTTTTGTTTCATCTGCTTTACCAAGCTTCTGAAGGACCTGTAGGAAGAGGGAAGAAAACAGGCTTCAAACTCAGATACAGCAAAGCAGAGACAAAGAAACAATTGCATGTTTTCGCTCCTGAGGCTGAAAGAAGGAAAGTTAAAAAGTCCCCCTTATTCTTGCACTCAGAATTTCTGGAATACTTTTCCACATTGTCATAGTTTGAAAACAGATTTACAGATGAGTCAGGAAGAACTCAGACCTCTTATACTCTGCTATACTGAAGAGCATGACCGAGGTTTGTCCTTCACTGGTCTAATGCTTTTTGCAGACAAGACAACGGCAATCTGGTTGTTTACCTCCTGAACCAGCAGGAAACAAACCACATCCCTAATATGCCTTGTCCTCTGCAGTTACACTTACCCTGATTTAACAATAGTCTCTGATTCAGACAGGGTGGGGTTTTGCTCCCAGAACAGCTGGAGTGCCCTCAAACACAGAAACCTGTACAGAGATCTCCTCAGAAAGAGAAGGTGGCTGGAGCAGTGAAAGTCCCACCTTCTTTCCACCTTTTCTCAGGAGGCACATGCTTGGCAGGAGCTGGCCGCTAAGAGCAACTTACACTATGAATCTGTGACACTCAAAGTGTCACATTAGACTGTCAGCAGCCAGTCTTGCTCCTTTCACCACCTCCCTGCTCAGCACAACTCCCCACAGCCTGAAAAAAATCCTTATCAGACTCCTTCTCTTATCACCCTTCTCTCTTAATTCCCTCTCAGTGAGGTTAAGTGGATCGTTCCCAAGCGAACAAAAAAGCACTTCATATTCTGAGCAGGCAGGTAGGTCTGTCCCAAAAAGGGAAACCTGGCAAACCCCAGCTGGGGAAGAGGGCAGCAGCTCTTTGTCATGCCCCAAGCAACTCCAGCTGCAGGGATACTGAGATGTAAACTATAACTGATTAAAATCAATTACATAATCTTTGTTAATCAAAAATAAAACAAACAAACAAAAGGCACATTTTTTTGGACAGTAAAACCAGAGAAAAGCCCACCCAGTCCTCAGTCACAGGAGGTTTTGGGGGAAAGGGTACTGAGGGAACACCTCAGAATAGCCCTGGCTGGAAAGGGAAACTATTACTGTGGATTTTCTCAGGAAACATAATTTTCCCCCTGCAGAACAGATATCAGATTTTCATGATTGGTCCCCAAAGTGGAGTTGAAAAGGACTATGCAACAGGCTGTAAAATAGAATATTTTCAGTCTGAAGGGATCTACAGCAATCATCTAGTCCAAGTGCCAATCACCCACTCTCATCTTTTTATACTGTGGAGGTCGAGGACATCTGCTATGTCTACTTGGCTAATCTCAATTCCCCTCTCCTCCATATAAGAACAGATATTCCCATCTCGCTCCTGACCACAATAACTGATTTCAGTGCTAGTCATGATAAATCATTGCAGTCATTCAGCACTCAACTCCTAAGTCCCCTTATTTAGGATGGGATTAAATGTTTAGGAGGGAATCACTGTTTTTCATTCTCCCTCTGTTCAACATCTTCTTTTCGCCTCCAGGAATTGCTGAGTTATTCTCCTGTCAGCAAAAGGAAGGGAAAGGACAGATAGAAGAAGACTGCACTCTTTGCGACCAAGAGCTGAATCAAAAACCTCCAGAATTTGCTGGAGAGGGAAGAAGCAGCATTGGTTGGACTGGCAGAGTCCTGTACACCAGAAACTGGTGTTTCCTGTATTCATCCACTCCAGCAAAGGGGAGCATATCCCACAGCAACACTGCTGCTGAGGCTGCAAATTCCTCTCCCATGCCAGCAGGAGAGAAGGATTCACTATGGCCTCATCTTTCCCATCAGGTGGTATGGGGAACCTCTCCCAGAAAGAATGTTGCTTAAAAACCCTTTGTTCAGCTCTACTCCCCCAGGCTACCAGATCTATGGAGCAGGGATTTCCCACTTTCTGGGTGACTTTCTAGATATCCAAAGAGCCAGCACACCAATAGCACCCACCACCGATAACAATAAAGTATACAAGCTGTAAACTCCAAAGCAGAATGATGGTCCAAATGTGCAGATCAAGAGAATTACTGGGGATATAAAGGAGCTTTTTATGGGGCAATGCATCTGTCTGGCTAATCAGGAGATGTGATGCTTTCAGGCCTGGAGGGGAGGGAAGGAAACCATTTAAAGAGGAGGAATCTGGAGTATGCCACTAAGGTCAAAGGTTTAGAACAGTCTCAGAGCTTCCTGGTGTAAAACACAGAGTAGCACTCACAGACTACTCATTGCAGCTTCCCACGTGTCCAATGAGTTAATCTGCAATTCCATTGCCTCTTGGGCAACATGCACACTGCATCTGGGGTTATCTGGCCACTGGGAAGATCATGTTCCACTGTGCTGAGGTGCTCTGCACAATTCGTGCAAAAAGCTGGGCATTGGAAAGGGCTCTAACTCATGCCTATCTCTAAGGGAAAAGCTCCTGCTGCAACAGTGATGCTCAGCTGAGGAGCAGCTCTGGATGAGGAAAGAAGAAGCAAAAAGAAACCCTGCACGATCCCACACTGACAAGGGAAGGGTGAAAGAGATGACTTGGTGATGTCAGCAGAGGAACAAGTCAAGGAAAACAAAACCAGTTATAACAGAGAGGCTGCAAGAAGTGAATCCCTGGCTACACAAAAAAACCCAAACTGTTCTTGCTTCCTACACTATTCCCCATGTGGTAGATGAAGACTTGTGCCCTACACCTCCTGGCCCTATAAGCGAGTCCCAGCCATACAGCCCCCTGATCCCTTTACCTGCTACAACACAGCAGAGACACAACAGCCCTGGGCTGCAGCAGGGCAGGGGTTATCTTCTCATAATGCTCTCCCTCAAAACTAGATCTGCCCCACACAAACAGCCCAGAGGTCAAACCCGAAGTCATCTGAGCAGCATAAAACGATGGCGCCACAGTGCTGCATCCCCCCAAGCCTATTCCCAGCTCTCCCATCAAAGAGCTGTCCTGGCAAGTCATACTAACAAATCCCTCTGGACTCCCTGAACTAGACAGGGATGGAGCAGATGGCCCTGGGTGTGCTGCTGACTGCAGACATGTCTGTGCTCACTGCTAATAACCTGTGAGCTCACAGGACAACTCCCCTCCCCAGGCTGGTACGTGCCGTCATAGGTCAGGCTATTCCGGGTGAGCCACGGCTGCTCCCTCCCCTCCCCTGCGACAGTTTTTAATCCTCCAGCTCACTGCAAAGCCAGATAAAGTTCGCATGGAAACTTCAGGCTCTTTGATAGCTATTAATGGAGCAGATTTACCAGGGTAGGAGACAGGAGTCCACTGCAGCTCCCAAATCTCAGGGCAGATCAGAGATGGTGTGATCTGTCAGCTGCTGTCTGGAGGCAAACCACACCAGGCAGCCGGCATGGATCTGGCATTTAAAAGATTAAGCAGCAACCATGGCTGGGCTCCTTGGTCTGCCCTTGACCTGAGAAGTCCCAGTGCTGCATAAGGATAGGGACCATTTCAAGATGGTGCAAGATCCTAGAAGGCAAGATGCTATTAAGAGACAAAGAAATTATCACATTCCTCTCATATCACTGATGTCTTTGTAATCTGTTGTTGTGGGCAGAACTACTTGCAGTAAGCTTGGATTGCTATACTTTGAGAAGTAAAGTAACACAGAAGAAGTGAAAGGGAAATACGGAAATCCTCATACCAGAGATGTAGCATTTTGCTAGCAATGGTCAGAGAAGTAAAGGCTTGAAATAACGTTTAAAAACCAGCAGCTCTTCCCAGAAAAATGAAAGCACTTTTTGCTTCGGAATTTGCAAAAAGTTTGCAACCAAGCTGCAGGTTCTCATCAGAGATAAAACCATAAGATTCACAGGATGACTGAGCACTACCTAAATACCACAGCTTTGTAGCAGTCAAAAGGAAGCATCTTATCTGGCTACAGTTTACTGTCTTTTATCCAGGTGTCTACAGGAGGAAACATTCCTGAAGGACAAATCCCCCCCACTGATTAGAATAGGGCCTCCAGTGCTCTGCTTTGAGCCCTGGGCATGAGGACAATGGAGATCTGAAGATCAGCCCTGTAACCACCAAAGTGTCTGATGTAGGGCAACAATCACCATTCAGGACAAACACTTGCTGGCAGTGAAGCATCAAGAAGCATCAGACAAAAATGCAGCTCCACTTTGCTCAAAAAAGCAACTGTAACAGTTTCATATTAATGCTTTCTAATAAAGAAATATATGCCAGCTGCTTAATGCATCCATAGTTCTCAGTCAGCACCTTCCCTCACTTCTTCCTGAAATATCAATGCCACAACACAAAAAAAGTCCTGAAAATCCAAATATTTTCAACAGGCCCCATGTAGACTCACTGTGTGAACTAATAACCTAATAAACCTCTACTTTTCATGGCATATGGATCACTCAGAGCAAAGACCAGTTTAGACAACTCAAGTGATGCATAGGAAGACAGAAAAAATGTATTTAATTTTGTGGATCCCAAACAAAGCTCAACCTGCCTCTGAAATATCTGAACTTAGGGTCGTCCAGCCCTGATGACTGGGGAGTCATTATGCCCACAGCCAGAGAACTTCAGCACTGCAGGTCCACACCTTACTCCCTAGTGTATCACAGAGAGACTGCAGTTACATCTTACTGATAGGGGCCCAGTGCCCATAAATCACTCCATCTCCTGACCTCTCCACCCCTCATCAGCAACACCTCTGATTTTTGCTGTATCTGCCAACTCCAGTGGATAATCTCCAAGTGCCAACTGGGCACAGAGCCAGTAACTACTGTGACTAATTTTGAAGTGCAATAAATTGGCATGCGCCAGTGGGTCAACAAGAAACAGAACAAATAAATCTTTGATCTCAGGCTGCTGCCTATTATTCCATGGAATACATACTCGGAAGAGGAGGAGAAGAAAATAGTGCCCAAGTCAGATGGAAAGCACAAAGCCATGTAACTTAATAAGGTACAAACAAAGGAAGTTTCATAAGCTTTTTTAAGCCTCATTTCTCCTCTGCCCAGATGAAATATGACTT